AGATCAATGAGACAGAAAATTAACAAGGATATCCAGGACTTGAACTCACATCTGGACCATGCAAACCTAATAGACATGTATGGAATTCTCTACCCCAAATCCACAGCATTGTAGAAGAATCCAATACATTCTTCTCAGCACCACATCACACCTACTCTAAAATTGACCACATAATTGGAAGTAAATCACTCCTCAGCAAATGCAAAAGAACAGAAATCATAACAAACAGTCTCTCAGACCACAGTGCAATCAAATTAGAACTCAGGATTAAGAAACTAACTGAGAACTGCACAACTTCATGGAAACTGAACAACTGGCTCTTGAATGTTGACTGGGTAAACAATGAAATGAAGGCAGAAATAAAGATGTTCTTTGAAACCAACGAGAATGAAAACACAATGTACCGGAATCTCTGGGACACATTTAAAGCAGTGTCTAGAGGGAAATTTATAGCAATAAATGCCCACATGAGAAGCAAGGAAAGATCTAAAATTGACACCCTATCATCAAAATTGAAAAGGCTAGAGGAGCAAGATAAAAAAAACTTAACAGCTAGCAGAAGACAAGAAATAACTAAGATCAGAGCAAAACTGAAGGAGATAGAGACACAAAAATACCTTCAAAAAATTAGTAAATCCAGCGGCTGGCTTTTTGAAAAGATCAGCAAAATAGACCACTAGCCAGATTAATAAAAAATAAAAGAGAGAAGAATCAAATAGATGCAATAAAAAATGATAACGGGATTATAACCACTGATACCACAGAAATACAAACTCCCATCAGAGATTACTACAAACAACTCTATGCACATAAACTAGTAAACCTGGAAGAAATTGATAAATTCCTGGACACATGCACCCTCCCAAGCCTAAACCAGGAAGAAGTTGAAATCCTGAACAGACCAATAACAAGGGCTGAAGTTGAGGCAGCAATTAATAGCCTACCAACAACAAAAAAAAGCCCAGGTCCAGATGGGTTCACAGCTAAATTCTATGAGATATACAAAGAGGAGTTGGTAACACTCCTTCTGAAGCTATTCCAAACAATACAAAAAGAGAGAATCCTTCCCAAATCATTTTATGAGACCAATATCATCCTGATACCAAAACCTGGCAGAGACTCAACCAAAAAAAGAAAACTTCAGGCCAATATCCTTGATGAACATAGATGCAAAAATCTTCAATAAAATACTGGCAAACTGATTGCAACAGCACATCAAAAAGCTTATCCATCACAATCAAGTAGGCTTCATCCCAGGGATGCAAGGCTGGTTCAATATACTCAAGTCTATAAATGTAATCCACCACATAAACAGAATCAAAGACAAAAACCATATGATTATATCAATAGATGCAGAGAAGGCCTTCAACAAAATTTAACAGCTCTTTATTCTAGAAACTCTCAGTAAACTAGATATCAATGGCATGTACCTGAAAATAATAAAAGCTATTCAGGAAAAACCCAAAGTCGATATCATACTGAATGGCCAAAAACTGGAAGCATTGCCTTTGAAATTTGGCACTAGACAAGGATGCCCTCTCCCACCACTCCTATTCAATATAGTATTGGAAGTTCTAGCCAGAGCAATCAGGCAAGAAACAAAGGGTATTCAATTAGGAAAGGAGGAAGTCAAACTGTCTCTATTTGCAGACAACGTGATTGTATATTTAGAAGACCCAATTGTCTCAGTCCAAAATCTCCTGAAACTGATAAGCAACTTCAGCAAAGTCTCAGGATACAAAATAAATGTTCAGAAATCACAAGCATTCCTATACACCAATAAGAGACTAACAGAGAGCCAAATCATGAGAAACTCCCACAGTTACTACAAAGAGAATAAAATACCTAGGAATACAACTAACAAAGGATATAAAGGACCTCTTCAAGGAGAACTACAAACCACTGCTCAAGGAAATAAGAGAGGACACAAACAGATGGAAAAACATTCCATGCTCATGGTTGGAAAGAATCAATATTGTGAGAATGGCCGAACTGCCCAAAGTAATGTATATATACAATGCTATCCCCATCAAACTGCCTAGGGATCTCTTCAGAGAACTGGAAAAAAACACCTTAAACTTCATATGGAACCAAAAGAGAGCCCCCATAGCCAAGACAATCCTAAGCAAAAAGAACAAAGCTGGAGGCATCACGCTACCTGACTTCAAAATATACTATAAGGCTACAGTAATCAAAATGGCATAGTACTGGTACCAAAACAGAGATATAGACCAATGGAACAGAACAGAGGCCTTGGAGGCAATGCCATACATCTACAACCATCTGATCTTTGTCAAACATGACAAAAACAAGCAATGGAGAAATAATTTCCTGTTTAATAAGTGGTGTTGGGAAAACTGACTAGCCATGTGCAGAAAGTAGAAACTGGACCCCTTCCTGACACCTTACACTAAAATTAACTCCAGGTGGATTAAAGACTTAAACATAAGGCCTAACACCATAAAAACCCTACATGAAAACCTAGGCAAAACCATTCAGGACATAGGCATAGGAAAGATCTTCATGACTAAAACACCAAAAGCATTGGCAACAAAAGCCAAAATAGACAAATGGGATCTAATTAGTCTCCAGAGCTTCTGTATAGCAAAAGACACAATCATTAGAGTGAACATGCAACCAACAGAATGGGAAAAATTTTTTTCAATCTACCCATTTGACAAAGGGCTAATATCCAGAATCCACAAAGAACTAAAACAGATTTACAAGAAAAAAACAAACAAACTCATTCAAAAGTGGGCAAAGGACATGAACAGACACTTTTCAAAAGAAGACATATATGAGGACAACAAACATATGAAAAAATTCTCATCATCACTGGTCATTAGAGAAATGCAAATCAAAACCACATTGAGATACCATCTCACGCCAGTTAGAATGATGATCATGAAAAAATCTGGAGACAACATATGCTGAAGAGGATGTGGAGAAATAGGTACACTTTTACACTGTTGGTGGGGGTGTAAACTAGTTCAACCATTGTGAAGACAGTGTGGTGATTCCTCAAGGACCTAGAAATAGAAATTCCATTTGACCCAGCAATACCATTACTGGGTATATACCCAGAGGATTATAAATCTTTCTATGATAAAGACACATGCACATGTATGTTCATTGTGGCAATGTTTACAATAGCAAAGACCTGGAACCAATCCAAATACCCATTGATGATAGTCTGGACAAGGAAAATGTGGAACATATACACCACAGAATACTATGCAGCCATAAAAAACCATGAGTTCATGTCCTTTGTAGGGACATGGATTATAAATCTTTCTATGATAAAGACACATGCACATGTATGTTCATTGTGGCAATGTTTACAATAGCAAAGACCTGGAACCAATCCAAATACCCATTGATGATAGTCTGGACAAGGAAAATGTGGAACATATACACCACAGAATACTATGCAGCCATAAAAAACCATGAGTTCATGTCCTTTGTAGGGACATGGATGACTCTGGAAACCTTCTCAGCAAACTTACTCAAGAACAGAAAAACAAACACCACATGTTGTCACTCATAGGTGGGTGTTGAACAATGAGAACACATGGACACAGGGAGGAGAGCACCACCCACTGGGGTCTGTTGTTGGGGAATAAGGGAGGGACAGCATGGGGTAGGGAGGTCGGGGAGGGATAACAGGGAGAAATGCCAGATATAGGTGATGGGGGGATGGAGGCAGCACACCACATTGCCGTGTATGTACCTATGCAATGAACCTGCATGTTTTGCACATGTACCCCAGAACCTAAAGTGCAATAAAATATATATTAAAAAGAAAAATCAGGTATTTGTTGTAAAAACAAAAAAAATATAAAAAATTAAAAAAAAACCACATTGATGACCCCCTGAGTAGTGAGCAGTTATGCACCTACCAGAGGTCAAGGATTATTCTTAGGACCACATGAGTAAACAAGCTATTTAGATAACTACCCCTACCTTCCCTTTTTATCGATTTTCTGCTCTTAGTTCATGGTAAGAGGATTAGGCCATATCTTCCTCCCAAGGCTTTTGCAAAACCTTCCAACCTTCCAAGAAGATTTGCCTCTTTCTATTTTTCCACAACCCTGACTGATCTCCTTCATTGTCCCAATACCATTTATTGGAAAGAACATTCTATTTCCATTGAATTGTCTTACACACACTATTTTATTAAACTCTTCTTTCAAACCCTATTAAGTAGCTGATTTTGTCTCAGTTTCATAGATCAGTTCATCGACTCCTAGACTTGAATTACCAATAACACACTAAAAGTCCCACAGCTAGTAGATGGCAGAACCTGGATAGAGTTCTGATTTACCCAGGGACAAGACTTTATTTTCTTATAAAATCAGGAAACCATTTCCTCTGAACACTGTTTATTTCAACACTAAACTATGAGCATCCTGAGATTACATACCACTTCTCATTTTTTCATCATAGTCTTTGGAGAGTACGTGCTTATTTGAGGATCACATTATGAAACATTCAATTGGCTTAAGCAGTAATGTTTATGTGAAAGGAAATAACAACTCTATAATCTAAATGACTTATTTTATTTGTTATGTTTATACTTACCACTGGCAAACCTGGACTTTCAACTCTAAAGAAAACGTAAGAGTCACTGAAGTCTATTCTGCATGAACAGGAACTTCATTAGGAATGATGGTGAATTGAGAATGTCTTTTCTCATCTTTGACAATCAAGGATCTTTCAGGTGACATAAAATGGAAGTCAGAGAAACACATCAGAAAGTGATAAAAACAACTTGGCTTGGGAGCCAGAGGGCCCTATTCCTGGTTCTGGAGCACTTGTTAAGTGGCTTTGAACAAGTCATAGTATCTCTCTGTGCCACCTTCGCCTCACCTATAAAACAATAGGTGTGGACCAGGTTACCATTAGGGTATCTCTTCCATGATTGGCTTTTGTTAAATATTGTACTACAATAGCATTGTGTACAGCTCTGATGACACATTGGTGGCTTCTTTTATTTACAGACTGCAGTGAGAATCTGTTTCACTGTCACACAGGCAAGTGCCTTAACTACAGCCTTGTATGTGATGGATATGATGACTGTGGGGATTTGAGTGATGAGCAAAACTGTGGTAAGTAGCATTGTTTCCCCAAAGGTTTTAATTTAAAATCACAGAAATTTATAACCAAGAACTTGTAGTTCATTATATGTTAATACAATTAGCAATTTAAATTACAAAATGATTGGTTTCTTGTTTTTTAGAAGGAGGAAGTTTGTTCATTCACTGTCCACAGTAATGTCTTATGTGTAAATATAATAGATAAATAATTGTATTAAGAAAATGTTTAAGAAATAGGATGGAAAGACTGGTAAAGGTTGTTAATGCATTAATAGTTTTTTTTTCCTCTCCTCTAATGTGTTCTGTTTCTCCTCTGGTTAGAGCCAGTGGCTTATGTTCGATTTTGGGCCCTTAAGCAAACTTTGAGGGCAGACATATTGTCTGTACCTGATTACCTTATTACATGTGACCAGAGTGCCCTCCTTTATTTAATCCCCAAATAGTATAAGGACCACCTTTGTAGCAGCTACACCCAGGGTTAGGATGACACCTTTGTTTTGTGTACAAATGCTGATCTTATCTTTTAATGAACAAACCTACTTTTTAAAGAGTCATGTTCAATTCTGAATGCCATCTCATGAATTAAAATCAGCAAAATTCCTGTTGCTCATTTACTTTTTTGGCTTTGTGACTAGCTTCAGAATTTTTAGGTAGTATATTTTTGAGTGATGTAGAAACTTTGCAACATGAACAAAAGGGCAAAATGGGATGAGGATTTGCCCTGGACAAATGATATGAGACAATGTCCAGCATTAGGTAATATCAAAATAAATGTTTGGAAAAGATCAGGGGTATCATCAGAGGAATGTGTTGGAATCATGAATGTTGGGAATAACCCCATGCTGGGAAACCTGGTGGCTTCTAGGAGCACCGTCTTGCTGCCACTTGCTGTATCTGTAAAAATATTTTTAAATGTGTATGTACAGACCATTCCTGTGTGACTACATAAATGTGGTTATTGTTTTTTTCTGGTAATAGTTTATTTTTATTTTCTTTTTGACTGACTCATAGTAGTTGTACATATTTACTGAGTACAGCATGATATTCTAATACATGTATACTATATGTGATGATCAAATCTGGGTAATTAGCATATCCATCACCTCAAACATTTATCATTTCTTTGTGTTAGGAACATTCAAAATCTTCTCATTTAGTTATTTGAAAACATACAATAAATTGCCATTAACTATAGTCACCATCCAGTGCTATAAAAACCTGCAACTTGTCCCTCCTATCTAGCTGTAATTTTGTATCAGTTAAGCAATCACTCTTTATCCCTCCTCCTCCATACTCTTCTGGCCTTGGTAACCACTGTTCTGCTCTCTGCTTCTATGAGATCAACTCTGCATATGAGTAAGGGCATGTGGTATTTGTGTTTCTGTTCCTGGCTTATTTCACTTTACATAAAGTCCTCCAGGCTCATCCATGTTGCTACGAATAACTGTAATTCATTCTTTTGGCATGGCTGAATAGTATTCCATTATGTAGATGTACCATATTTTCCTTTTCTACTCATTTTTTGATTGGCAAAAATTGATTCCATATCATGGTTATTGTGAGTAGTGCTGCAATGAACTTGGGGGTGTCTGTGTCTGTTTGATATACTGATTTTCTTTCCCTTGGATAAATATCCAGAAGTGGGATTGCTGGGTCATATGGAAGTTCTATTTGTAGTTTTCTCAGGAACCTCCATACTGTTTTCCATAATGGCTGTACTAATCTACATTCAGATGCGGGTTATCTCCTGGGACTGACTAGTCTTGAGACAAAGGATGAGGGGAAATGGTAATTATAGACATCACAGAAATGATAGTTGCGGGAGGCCGTAGAGATCATCAGATTCAACCCTTCTCTTTACCAGTGAGATAACTAGGAAAATGCAGGGGATTGAAAAGGAGTGAGTGTAGGTTGGTAGTTGGATAGGTTAATGGAGAGGGCCAGAGTATAGGTGCATGTGAGGACGAATGGTCTTAACAGGTGACATAATTCCTCTGAAGATAGCAGGATGTTGTGAAGTTTGTGTGTCTGGATGCCCGTTGTCTCCATCTAACAGTAATAATTACCAATTTCCTTCAGATCAGCCTCTGCCCTGGCCCCCCGTCCTCCTCTGGTTCCTGCTAAACACCTCTTTTGCTTTTCTTCTTTTCTCTAACCCATGTCCTCCTCATACTTTGCTTTATTGACCCAAAACACCCTTTAAGATTCACGGTCACTCTAAAAGTCTGTCTATGCACTATTACTAGACTCATCACACCTTCTCATCGAATCTGTTATTCATGAAACCACATACATCTTCCAAAATGCTGCTTATATTCAGGGTTTAACACTTCTCATGGCAAAGCATCTTGTGGATTCTGCCCTTTGTGAGAGGGAACTTATCACTCAGTTCTTTTTCAGTAATATGTAAATTGGGATATAGTTGAAGTCCAGGCTAAAAAGAATCATGAAAATAACATACATATTTTCCATTGCTTACCCAGCAGTTCTTTTGGATATAAGGCCAGGCCTGCTGGCATGTCCTTGTAGTCTCAACTACTTGAGAGGCTGAGGTGGGAGGATCACCTGATCCTAGGAGGTTAAAGCTGCAGTGAGCTATGTGAGCTATGATCACAACACTGCACTCCAGTGTGGGAAACAGAGAGAGTCCCTGTCTCAAAAAAAAAAAAAAAAAGAAGATAATTCAATTAAAAACTTAAGCTTAGCATCAGGCGAGATGACAAGGAGATACTTGCTTTCCCAGTTTGCCAGACAGGTAAGTTATTATTCCCAGAAATGTGAGAGAATTGTTACAGATACATCAAATCTACTAGCTACGTGAAACACAAATCATAGTTCTGTTTTTTCTACCAGGGTAGAAACCATAAATTTTCCATAAGGAAAGAAAATGACAACTAAAGAAGACAAAAGCCAACAACAATAGGAACAAACTGGCCAGGTGTGGTGGCTCACTCCTGTAATTTCAGCACTTTAGGAGGCCGAGGTGGGCAATCACCTGAGGTCAGGAGTTCAAGACCATTCTACTGTCCTGGCCAACATGATAAAACCCTGTCCCTACTTAAAAAAAAAATAGCTGGGCATTGTGGCACACACCTGTAGTCGTCCCAGCTACTTGGGAGGCTGAGGCAGGAGAACTGCTTGAACCAAGAGGCAGAGGTTGCAGTAAGCCGAGATTGTGCCGCTGCACTCCAGCCTGGCAACGGGAGACTCCATCTCAAAACAAAGAACAAACTACGGGTCCTGAGACAACTAGGGTAGTGTTACTCATCCAAAAAACAGACGCATCTTACCCCACCATGAAGGTGGTCAGTGGGGCACATGTGTGGAGAGGGCGTGCCATTTTAATTGGGCCAGACCTATTGTAGAAATGTTATTAAAGGTATTGGAACCATTGGAACAGACTCTCTTCAACGGGAACCGGGAGCCATACAATGCTGCCTGTTTGTCACGCTGGTTCTCTGCATTCTTGTGAGTTTTCATTTCTCCAGATTGCAGTGCCACATCAGAGCATCGCTGCGGGGATGGGCGCTGCATCACCATGGAGTGGGTGTGTGATGGTGACCACGACTGTGTGGATAAGTCCGATGAGGTCAACTGCTGTGAGTGCGCTGAGGATGTTTGTTTTGCTTATTTTTCCATTTCTGCTTGTGTGGGCTGTGCTCAATGTTAACTTCTATACTTAAGACTCACACTATATACACAGCATTCCAAGGGAAAGATTCTGATACTTTGGTTCTAGCCTGTAAAGATCTTTGAGTGGTGAGATGACAATAGCCATGGACTGTATGTGACTTCCACACCTTTCCTCCCAAAACTCCAGGCATCATTTGGCTGATCTGGCCAAGTGGGTGTCTGTTTTCTCTCTCATTGCTCCATATGTCTCTTTTATGCTTCTGTGACTTTATCAAAGGTGATGCTCTTCCCACAGACTGGGAAACCTTCCTTCTGCACACAATATATGAGTAGTTAAGTTCCCTGTAGGAGTGCCCTAACATATTCTCAGGGGCCATTTGTGGAAGAACATGGAAAGAATCATCAGCAAGAAGAGAGCCTTTAATGTTCATACTGTGACACAGAGAGTACATGATAGGCCAGGTGTAGTGGCTCACACCTGTAATCTCAGCATTTTGGGAGGCCGAGATGGGTGGATCACGAGGTCAGGAGTTCAAGACCAGCCTGGCTAACATGGTGAACCCTGTCTCTACTAAAAATACAAAAATTAGTTGGGCATGGTGGCAGGTGCCTATAGTTCCAGCTACTTGGGAGGCTGAAGCAGGAGAATCGCTTGCACCTGAGAGGCTGAGGCTGCAGTGAGCATAGATCATGCCACGGCACTGCAGCCTGGGCAACAGAGTAAGACCGCCTCAAAAAAAAAAAAAAAAGTCAATAGGTATAGAATTTAGAGAACTGATAGGAATTGGAAGGTTAATGGATATTAGGCCATTCCTTTCAAATATCAGTTGTCATAAACAAGTGTTAAAGTGTTTCTTATGTGTTAGTTACCATGTGAGTTCTTTTCATATATCATTTTGTTGGCTTTTGAGGTCAAGTAGATATATCATGAAATATTTGGGCGTGGGGTCCAAAAAGTTTGCCTTCACATTCTGGCTGAGCTCTTAGCCATGGGACTTTGAGACAAGTAATATACTCTCTAAACTTTAGTTTCTCATCTCCAAAACAAAGATGATAGTATCTACTTTACAAGGCTTATGTGAGAATTTGAGATTATATATACGATGCAGTTAGCACAGTTCTTGCCAAAAAGGAACCCTGTACAGATTGCCATTTTTATTAGTAAGTAGGAGCATGATACTTCCATCACTAAAAGCAATCATGCAATTCTTAAGAAAAGTTAATTTTTGGTAAGCGTTTAATGAGGCGGAAAAAGTTCTAGAAATGAAATCAAGGATATGTTCATTTGTGTATGCAGAACGCCCTGTTTCTTAGTGATGCCTGATCAATGGCTATTATTTATTTGATGTGCAGACTGAAAGAAGAATTAATAAATAAAGTGAGTATCATTCTGGCCCTTCCTAGCCTGTCACAGCCAGGGTCTCGTGGAATGCAGAAATGGACAGTGTATCCCCAGCACGTTTCAATGTGATGGCGACGAGGACTGCAAGGATGGGAGTGATGAGGCGAACTGCAGTGGCAGTAAGTGTGTCCCCCCACCCCAGAACATGCCTTTACTGCTGGTCCTCTCCTTGGGAACAAAGTAAAACATTTGAAGTTGCTTAAGTAGGATTCCCACATAGATAAGCCCAGATTGCCAATGCAGTGATCCTCCCAGCCCTCGTCAGCCAGGAAACACTTTTTTGTGCTAAACATAATTCTCAAGCAACTTACACTGAAAATCATTCCTCAGGGTGAAGGGGCAGGTGAGACACCTGAACAGCACAGTCAGATTCACTTAACTGTTTGATGAGGAAAGCCGTGATAAAGAGAGAAGTTTAGTGTATAGCATCCAATTAAATTAGTTTAGATTCCAGTGAGAAGAAATTGGTTTCTGAAAGGAAATATGATGACTTCTTAAAATAATCATGTGCAGAGAAGCAGTTTAGTGCCTCTTATTACCAAGCAATACACTTTAAAAGGATTTAATATCTGTGTGTGACTCTCGAAAGGAGCCAATAAATTGTTTTTAAAATGTAACCCTTTCTGTCAGAAAAGAAAGTTCTACGCAGATTGTTTTAAGCTCCAGTGTTTGCGGAAGCCTCTCAGTAGGGGCTCGGTAAGGATATCCATAGACTCAAAAAATCCCATTTGTTTACACTGCACAGGCACAGCCTAGTTGTTAAGAACCTGGTTGTTGCAGCCCTGATACCTGGGATCAAGCCTCGGTCAGCTACGTGCTATATGGTGACTTTTGGCCAGATACTTACCCCCCTTTTGGGTCGCAGTTTGGGCTTCTGTCCACTAAGAATAGTGATAACTACCTTATAGTGTTGGCACATAGTGAAAACTCAATATATGTGAGCTTTTATTACATGGCTCTTACATTGAAGTATAGCTTGGGCTGTGTATATTCATAATCAGCCAATGAGACTGGTCACCTATGGATAAATTAGTTTTGTCGTAATACATATTGATCATTAGAATAACTTTAATGGAAAAGTGCCCAAGACCTAAAGGGAGAGCTTTTCAATCACAGACTTATTACATAAAAATAATATATAAAGAGCGCTTTGTTTTACCAGTTTTCAAATTCAGAAGGAAATCCTTTATTAAACATAATTTATTATGTGCCTATCAACCAAGCACTTCCCTTTACATCAAACTCTTCTTTCTAGATGATTCAACTCTGAAATAATTTTGAATTTTTAATGATGAAATGGCAGGCTTTGTAGAGTAGTTCCTTACATGTGTGAGACGTAAGAAAGTAATATGATAAAACAGATTCGAAAGTAAAAAGTAGTGTCTTTATATTGTTCACTCTTATGAATTCAACTTAAAAAATGTATATTGTGGTGTTTATATGTGGCCATCCCCTGGGAATTCAATAGCAAGCAAAACAGCCGATGGGGCTTACAGACTCCTAGGGGACATAGGCATGCTACGAATTATTATGCAAATCAATGTCTAATCAGACAGCAACAGAGACTAAGAAGGGAAATTCAGAGTGCTTGGATGCCATTAACAGTGTGTATGCCCTGGTAAAGGGCCTTGGAACAAAGCTTCCCTGAGGAAGAGGTCCTGGAGCTCAGACCTGATGAATCAATGGGGTTAACTGAGAAGAGTGGGACTTGAAAAAGCAATTGAGACACAAGGCACCGCTTGACCAGAATTCGAAGGTGGGAAGGTGCAAGCATGTATGGGAGGACCATGAGAGAAGGCAGGCCATTGTGATTACAGAGCTGAGAACAAAAGGGAGCGTGGTACTAAATACTGTGTAATTGTCAGGATGGGTTGCACACTTATTCTGCTAGACAGGGCTGGGAAGGAAAGTGGGACCTGCTTCTTCTGAGACTTAGGGTCTTGCTGAAGAGTTAGGCCTTTGAAACTCTTCACGCTCTGTCCCTGCCTACCTGTCTAGTCTCTCTGACCCTCTTTCTGAGTGGTTGAAGCTCCAGTGACTTGACCTGTGCACCTTCCTATTCCAGGCCTTTGCCTGTGCTACTTCTGGGCTTGGGAAACCCATCCTTTCCTCTTACCATGATGTTGAAAAGTCCTTTGAGAAACTTCCCCATACTGGTCTTGTTGGCTTCTATTGCTCTTTAAATATATTTTAGCTGGGCATGGTAGCACATGCCTGTAAACTCAGCACTTTGGGTGGCCAAGGCAGGAGAATTACTTGAGACCAGGAGTTTGAGACCAACCTGGATGGTATAGCAAGACCCCCATCTCGATGAAAAAAATAAATAAAAATAAATATTTTTATCCATTAAGCAATGATCACACAGCATCAGAAGGTTTGGTTCAGGTTGATACTTCTATCAGAGCACAAACCACTTCCCAGGGGGTATCATGCCCTTTTATCTTTTAATGTTCAGTTCCTAGCTTGTCACATAGAGTGTTACATGGGAGGCACTTAACATTTGCCGAAATAATAAATGCATGAAGTCAATAAAATCTCCTCAAGAGCCTAAACTCACCAAAATTGTTTAGGTTTGCTTTGAGAAAAAATTTTGACCCTGTTGATGTTAAAAAAAAGAGTGACAGCTCTTTTCTGCAAGGCTGTGGTATATTAATTTGCACATTAGTGGTACTAGAAAGGATAAATATTCCAGTATAACATTGTCTAAGAATTATAGATGAGTGATTATATATACACATGTACTATTATTCATACTTAAAAGTGCCTTGCAAGGTTGTCTAGATTCCAGATGACATGCCTGAAGGTAATTGATCATAATGGGGGAGTGCTAGAACAGGCTGTATTTATTACCCTATCCATTTAATCTATAAACGACCAGGAAATCAATGGGAAAAGCAGTTTTCTCTCTACATAACTTAAGGAAAAACCATTAGGGCAAACACTGATATTACTGCTGTCATTCACTTAGAAACCAGAAATCCAGTTCTCAAGTCATCACAGCTAGGCTGATGACACTTTCCAAGACATATTGAAAATATGGATAGCAACAGCATTATTTTACACTTGTATTATGATAAAGTATCCTTTTTGTATTGGCGTCGATGCCCTATTTATTACTAGAGAAAGTATTTTTTTTAGAGGGAGACTAGAATTGGGAGCAAATGAGTCTTTAAAAAAATGTCACTTAATATTCAGAATTTCAAGATTTTATAATGTTCTCTCTCCCTCAAATCTCTTGAATTTTATTTTGTAATCAAATATTGGCACCTATGTAAAAAGAAAGCACTATTTTTTCCCATTAAATGCACAACTACTTGTTTTTAGTGTCGTTTGTCTCTTATTTCTTCATTCCTTTGGAATACCTAGATTGTATTTAGTTGCCAGGAAAATAAATCCAGAAAGCAACCTATTCAATATATGTTCAATACTGCTGGAGAAATTGGAAAGAAATTAAACTTGTGTTATTCCTCAGCTCCACCAGACATTTCTGATCCTTTGGATCCTTGGGTAAGGAATTTGCAGATGATAAAAGTCAATGCGCCTTTTCCTCCTTCTGTAGGTCAGACACCATGTCAAGAAGGAGACCAAAGATGCCTCTACAATCCCTGCCTTGATTCATGTGGTGGTAGCTCTCTCTGTGACCCAAACAACAGTCAGAATAACTGTAGTAAGTACAACAGCTGACAAATGCAATTGCCATGTGAAAGCATACATTCAGCCCTTCTCTTCTGTTGACATTCAAATACCGAAATCTGGAATCCCTCCAAAAGAGTCTACCTATTTTCTTTTCCTTTTTAAGAGGTCTCATGTGGTAGCAGAAGAGAAGCAAAATGGTCTTAATTAACTTAAATCAGAAACATATGTGTCATTGTGAATGACTGTAAATCCACATTGCCTAATATTATTACCATTAATTTCAACTCAGCATTAGTTTTCTGCATTATTTTCTTGGCTCCATCTGTAGGCAGATGCTATCTTTCTTCCTTTCTAAAGCACAGCTTCAAAAATGGAAACTTTAACCCAGAAGCAAATATGAAGTTCATAGAAATAGCCACATACAACTTAGACAGTCTGTTTTTTTTTTTTTTTTTTTTAGACACAGTCTCACTCTGTCGTGAGGCTGGAGTGCAGTGGCACCATCTTGGCTCACTGCAACTTCTACCTCCCGGGAGTTCAAGTGATTCTTCCTCAGCCTCCAAAGTAGCTGGGATTACAGGCATTCAGCACCCTCAGAGATCCACCCACCTGGGCCTTCCAAAGTGCTGGAATTATAGGCAGTCTGTTCTTTTAATAAAATTAATTCTCACGTTTCCAGGAACTCTTATGACCTATAATGGTTTTGGAACCGTTATGCTCATTTGTTTCAGTGACAATGTAACAGCTCCAAATGGTGTAAACAGGTGGCTCTAAAATGACTTTCAGGAGGAAGAATTATTTGGGGAAGACAGAATGGGCAGAAGTGAAAGAGCTCCATAAGGACTCTCATGGGAAATTGAATCAGAAAATCCCCAGCGACTGACTTCTAGTAATGATTTCTGACTCCTGGGCTCTGTTTTCATGTTATATTCACCTCTTCCACTTTTTCTAATGAACTTTTTGCTGCATTTTCAGGTTGAGGTTAGAAATTTAGAAGCAGGTCAGTCAGCTTTCTGTTTGCAAGAGGGTATTATTATTAGCAGTATTATTTTTTTAAGACAGACTCTGGCTCTGCCACCCAGGCTGGAGTGCAGTGGTGTTATTTTGGCTTACTAAAACCTCTGCTTCCCAGGTTCAAGTGATTCTCCTGCCTCAACCTCTCGAGAGGCTGGGATTACAGGCACATGCCACCATGCGCAGCTATTTTTTTTTTTAGTAGAGATGGGGTTGCACCATGTTAGCCAGGCAGGTCTCAAATTCCTGACCTCAAGTGATCCACCAGCCTTACAGGTATAAGCCACTGTGCCCAGCCAGGGTATTACTTCTTAATTACGTCCTCTCAATCCAAGGCCCTTGGAAGCTGGGATGCTGAAAGGCTCAGTCCTTGCATCTGCTGCAGTTTGGGGCATCCTGATTTTACCTGGTGACCTTTCTGGGTCAGTGTAGAGCTTATAGTGAGTGCCTCTGTAATTGTCACAGAGTCTCAAGGGGGTGAAAAAAGGAGGCTAGGAAGGGGATGTAGGCAGGCAGCTAAATAAAAACCCAGACTGGCCAGACACGGTGGCTCACGACTGTAATCCCAGCACTTTGGAAGGTCCAGGAGGGCGGATCACCTGAGTTCAGGAGTTCAAGACCAGCCTGACCTATGTGGAGAAACCCTATCTCTACTAAAAATACAAAATTAAGAGACTTGGTGGCACATGCCTATAAGCCTACCTACCTAGGAGACTGAGGCAGGAGAATAGCTTGAACATCGGAGGCGAAGGTTGCGGTGAGGCGAGATCATGCCATTGCACTCCAGCCTGGGCAACAAGAGCAAAACTCTTTCTCAAACAAACAAACAGCAATCAAACAAACAAAACAGACTGATGGGACTGACTGTAGCATTTAAAAATTCTTTGCCTGGGCCGGGTGTGGTGGCTCACATCTGTAATCCCAGCACTTTGGGAAGCCAAGGTGAGTGGATCACCTGAGGTCAGGAGTTGGAGAACAACCTGGCCAACATGGTGAGTGAAAACTCATCTCTATTAAAAAAAAAAATTATTTGCCTGGAAGCACATGGCCATGCCTCCTCCATTTCCCATATGAAAGAACAGTAGATATTAGTCTAACCATGAAGTAAACACACTCAAATTGCCATTTTACTTCCTTTAAACTGATTTAAATAGAACATACCTATAGATACACACACACACACACACACACACACACACACACACACACATTTATAACATATTTGGGCCACTGTTTCATTTTGCTCATCTCCCCATCTGCCATGGAAATTTTTCAGAGCAATTTCTTTACTTCATCTTCAATTTGAATAATGACAGTGTCAGCGCAAAGACATGTGTTTATTATTAATGTTTTGGGGGTTGTGTGATATGAAATGGCATTTACTGTTAGACTCAAAAATATAGAAAAGGCAAAGTTAGCCTGGTCAAATTTGGGTAGGGAGTAAGTAGGTGTATGTTATCCTATTTTCTGTATATTTGAAATATTTCAAGCTCTAAATATTTAAAAATATGTTGTCTCCTATCAAAAGAATAAGATGTAGGAAAGGCCGCTGGATAACTCTTGGCTCATAGAGCTGACCAATATTTGTAGTGTGTCCATGATGTTCCAGGCATCAGGATGGGCACTGGGCTTTCTCGTGGAGAAGAAAGGAGACAGGCTTCTAGCTTCCTGGAAGTCACTTTTCAATGTGGGAGAACATGTGGTCATCTTCCCACTCATATATTCTACGTTGTGGCTCTCTTTAAGTTCTTTTAATACACCCAGTTTCCCTAGTGTCTCACTGTCTTACCAGCTTTTTCATTCACTATGTATGTTCTTGCCAACTTCTCTCCACATACATTCAGCAAACGTTTGCACAATCTCTCTTCTGAGTGAAAGGCACTAGGCTAGCCACTTGCCCTCATTACTCCTGTGTTATTAAAAATGGCCTACATTCCTAACTTCCAGTTGAAAGACAAGATGTTATGCCTGATTTTTCAAAGAGCTTCAAGATGATATATGTGTACTTAGTTCTCTGTAAAGACAAACAAGTGGCATCTCAAAAAATTCTTCATATACTTGAAAATACGGTTAATTACTTGAAGATGTTTACCACTATCAGGGACTAGTATCACTCAGCTTCTGAGGCACAACTCAACAGCACTTTCTTCATCTACTCGATGCCAAGGGAAAACATGAGTTTGGAGAATGTAGTAGATATTCTGTTTGGTGGAGACAGCCTCTCACTGGAGTTACTGGGATTCTCATCCTTGAAAACTCTGATTCTTGCCATCCCATAAAATATTATGTGATTTGCCAACGGTCCCTAATGATATACTGGGTGGGACGCAGTCATCAGTATTTTTAGATTCTATAGATGACTTCAATGTATAGACAAGGTTGAGAATGTGTTTCTTTAGTGCCTGTTTATGACTGGGCTGCAGGGAAATGTGAGAACTCTGAAATAGAATACAAAAAGGTTTGTGTATTCCAATGTGCATTTTTCAGTGGAGAAGGCTTATTTTAAATTCACAGAAGTACCTGCAACTTATTTTTTTAAAGCCTAAAAACCACTTTTCTGATGGTACATTGTTTTTTCAAGAAACAGCTTTTAGAGCCTGTGTTGCCAGGTCCAGTCACAACCCAGCATCTTTAATATTTCTGTACCATGTTGGGAGGCAAATTACAGACGTATCGTTGCCTTTGAAGGTAGGAGCAAGAATGCTATTCCCCTCATTCTGGTGTAGAGGGACTCATCCATCACGTCCCCCTTGTGGTATGCAATCCAGACAGCGGGGAGAACCTGCAAGGGCGACACCTGAGCATGTCTCTCCTGCCTTCCTGTGCCCATGCTGACCATGGCTGTGAAATCCAGGCATGGCTGTCATGCCCCAGGCCCTCGCTTAAGCCTCCCACAGTGTTCATCAGCCTTCAGTTCTACACTTACTCATGCATTTTCCCCTTATTCAACACCAAGGAAGGAATGAACAGGTTTGCTTTTTGAATAATTCCCTAAGAGTCTAGCAATTTCCTGCTCTCTCTTTACAAGCTTCAGTTGGTAGGAGTAAATGGTATAGTCATGTGGTAGAGAAGCCGATCACCGTAATGGTTACAGACTTCTGCCTTACAAGCTAATACTAGAGGAGAGGAATGATGTATTTACAAAAGCATCTCCATGTGCATTTTCTAATAAGTGAAACAAAATGATTGAATAGAATATTACCATTTGGTAACACATTGAATTAATGAGTCAAGACATGGAGCATCTCCAGCTGCTAATATCACAAAAAGAGGGAAATCAGAATAATGTGGCTTCTGGTGGAAAAACAGCTCAGCCACCTCTAGTCTTGCCAATGGAATGAAGCCCAGTCCATTCCAGTCTTGTTTATTCAGCTGCCAAGGTTTGGAAATAGAGAGGGTGGGAAACACATTTAGCCTCACCAGGAGTGGGCAATAAGCAAGATTACAAAAGCTGGTACACTCTACGAGTCAAATCTCTGGGTTCTTCAATACTTACATTATAAAGAAAAAGGAACGGAGAAGGAACCCAAAGGCTATGAGAGACTTAAAATACAAGTTTCAAAAAATGGGCAAGCCTAAATTACAATACCCAGGGATGGTAGACACCTAGGTAATAAAACTATAAAGAAAAGCAAGAAAGTGATGAAGATACAACTCACTAGTTATTTGGGTGAGGGGGCAGCAGGGAATGAGAAAGTTGGGATAAGACAAGACATATGGAAGGTTTCTGGAGTGCCTGCCTGAGTTCAGTTTCTTGACCTGGGCAGTAGTTATAAGGATGTCCACCTTAAAATAACAACAAACTATTACAAATAATAATGTTAAAGAGAGATTTAGAGTTTGAGGCAAAGTTGAATTTTTGAATATTATTATACGTGCAGCTAGATGTAGAAAAGACATTTTTTCATGTAAATGACCATCGTTTAATACATGATTTCTAGTGACTTCAGAGCATTACATCATTAAGGATGAAACATCATTGAGTTAATAATCCCATCTTTAGGTTGAATTGAAAAAATCTTGTTTCAGACTTTGAAAGGTGGAATACCGTTGAGATTCCATCAGGATTTTATTTTGACAGATATTTATTAAACCTCATCTGTGTTCAGGACACCGTACTGGTACGGCATCAAACTTAACATCAGAAACACAGATCTGGCCTTAAAATATCCTCACGTTTGTGATGCGATCTCCCTCTAGTGGCGATTGTAAATCAGGCTCACGCGTGAGCCTAATTTGATAAAAAAAAGCTTATTGATATCATAAATCATGGAATATGGAGTTGACAGGTATATTGAGAGTTTATCTTGCTTAGCATCCTGTGAAGAATGCCTTATGAAGGAATAAAACACAAGATCCAATAAAACTTACCGCATTCAATAAAAATCTCCAGAATAATATATGATCATTACTTAATCCTTTTCTCTTCCTTGGCTCCTAAACACTTAAAAGTTATATCTTATCCTAAATCAAAAGTGATACATTCTCCACATATCAAAAAGAGAAAAGTTATTCATGTGACATATTGTATGAATTATCTTCAATGAAATACATCAATAAAAAGTTAAACCTTGATAGGGTGGTAGAGAAAGAAAGAAAAGAAGGGTATGTACAAGGAAAGAAAAGAATACATCAAAAATATCTATAAATGTACCAGTTGTGTAAAATTATAAGTATCTTAAAGAGAACAGGAAGAAAAGCATAGAGTTAGAGCTACATGTGCTGACTAGTAAGATGGTCGTGACCAACCAGCAACAAAAGCAAACTGAAGAGTGGTAGGAATGGGATGCTTCTGCTTTGGCAAAAACAAACGCAAGTCTCTGTCTAAGCGTACAAATGCAATTACGGATAAATGTGAGCAAGGGAAAGGCATGGAAGCACTCAGAGCCTTCTGCTGACTTGCAGGGAAGGTAACCGAAAGGGGAGTGGAGAGATGTTGAATTTTTTCTTTCTGCATCTTTGTATTGTTTTTATTGTTATGAAAAACATGCATTTTGTAATCGTGTAACAAAATATTTAAATGTTACTTCTTGTATTAGTTCAGACTGCTATAACAAATCACTATAGCTTAAAAACAACAGCCTCACAGTTCTGGAGGCTGGCTGGAAGTCTGAGATGAGGTTGCCAGCATGGCCAGGTTCTGATGAGGACCCTCTTCTGGGCTGCAGATGGCTGATGTTTCATTGTATTCTCACACTGTGAAAAGAGGGTGCAAGACCTCTCTGTGGTCCCTTTTATAAGGGCGCTAATCCCATTCTTGGAGGTTGCACCCTTATAACTCAATCACCTCCCAAAGGCTCCACCTCCTAATATTACCATATTGGGGGTTAGGATTTCAACATATGAATTTTGGGGGAACACAAACATTTAGTACATAATGTCCAACCCCCGCTTCACAAATCACAGGAAAGGATAAACTGAACCGACCAACCCCAAACCTCTTCCATCTACTCTTCTCTCCTCTCTGGCTCACTCTCAAGATTATGCCAACCTTGCAGTGTTGTGTCTTCTTCAGGAAACTGAGAGTCATATTACACTTTGTCATTTTTTTTTAATCAGGGCAGCATCAGCCTCCTTATAAATATATTGTCTGTGAAACCCTCAGAGTCTTTAAATTAAGAAGTAGTTCTGGAGATGTTTTAATATTTCAGCCCAATCCTTATTGTGAATCTATTTGCATGGATACAACTTCTTAGTCAAATAATTAAATTTAATTTGAATAATTACTCTCAATAAGGCATGGGGTCTTTGGTCTGTCTGGGTGAATTTTACCAGGACACTTGCTTGTTTGCCTCTTCCCTTAGGGAATGTGGCACATCTACTGCAAACAGAGAAGGAGAGAGGGGAGGCTGTCCGCTGTATTCCCCTAAAGCTACCCAAACCCCATTTATCCCTGGAGGGAGTGTTAGTCTGTTTTCATGCTGCTGAGAGTTGGCAACTTACAAAATAAAGAGGTAAAATGGACTTACAGTTCCACATGGCTAGGGAGGCCTTACAATCACAAGGTGAAAGGCACTGCTTCCGTGGGGGCAGACAAGAGAAGAATGAAAGAGCCAAGTGAAAGGGGAAACCCCTTATAAAACCATAAAGATTTCATGAGACAGACTTACTACCATGAGAAGAGTATGGGGGAAACTGCTCCCATGATTGAGTGATCTCCCACTGGGTCCCTACATGTAGGGATTATGGGAGCTACAATTCAATATGAGATTTGGGTGGGACACAGCCAAACCGTATCAGAAGGCTTCCCAGGTCACTCTTGCTCTAACTTTTCCCTTTGGGCTTCTAGCATTTTGTTCAATATGGCTGCCTTAGTATATTCAGGCTGCTACAATAAAATGCCATGGGCTGGGTGGCTTAAACCACGGACATTTATTTCTCACAGTTCTGAAGGCTGGAAGTGCAGGACCAGGGTGCTGGCAGACTCAGTCTCTGGTAACAAGCTGCTTCCTGATTTGCAGAGAGTTGCCTTCTTGCTGTTGCCTCACATGGGTGAGAAAGTGAGAGCTTTAGTCTCTTCCGCTTCTTATAAGGACTTAATCCCATATAAACTCCACCCTCATCTAGACCTCATCTAAATTTCATCACCTCCCAAAGGCTCCACCTTCAAATACCATCACATTGCGGGTTAGTTACAGCATATGACTGGGGGATACACAAAGGTTCAGTTTAAGCAAACTATCATGATCTGTTCACATTCTACTATAGCTACCATCATGTGCATCCTTTTTCCTATCAAGATTGTGGAGTTCCTCAATGGCAGAAACTACATTTTTCATTATTCTTAAATTTACAGTGCATAGAATAGTCCCTGATACATTTTCCTTTCTCCATTCTGGTACTGGGCTAGGTACAGACTTGAGATCAAGAGATAAAGTCTCATTTCACAAAAATCTCGGGATTCTGTGTGAGAGGCAAGTAAATAAAGACTACGGCAAAATGCAATGAGCATGTGGTGGCACTCCACAGGAGATGCTATGGGACTCACAGGAGACTCATTCTGGGAGTGGTAAAGGGAAGAGTGGTTGGCCAGGAAGGTTTCCTGGAAGAGATATTTGTGCTGAGTCTTCCAGACCATAGAGGAGTTAGCTTAGTGGGGAAGATGGGAAAGGGTTAATCCAGGCAGCTGGTGCTGTATGCACCTGTCAGCTAGAACCATGACCGCATCTGGGGAGATAATTATGAGCTTCTTATAAAAAAGGAGGTAAGAGAGGAGCAAACAGGGTGCATAAAGACATGCAATTCTTAAAATATCTGGTGTGACAAGGGAATAGAATTCATTACAGCAGAGACAATGTTGATTGGATAATCACAAACAGTGAAGCTGGAAAGTTAGGCTAGGGTTGAAGTTTAAAATAGCCTCAGATTTCAGGCTAAAGGGTTTGGATTTTGTCTCATTAGCAAGAAGTATCCAACAGATCTGAGCCTCTTCTTGCCCTGAAATCTTGGAGCTTTATATTTAAATACATTGATCAATGATAAAACATAATTTGATAGAAGTTATCTAATTGCCTATTTAATAAAATTCATTAACTTTTTAGTGGCAGAGAAGATGGTGGGGCTATCCTATTTTAGTACTAATGAGTAAATCAGAAGAAGATGAATTGGAGTCAATAAAAGGAATGATGAGAGAATCATCTTCAGATAAGTTGAGCCAAAGGAAAAAATGAGAAAGGACTTTCTAAAGCATGATGCTAGCAACTACATATACAGAAATAAATCTTCATTGCCAGGGCATTTCAGTAATCAACTTATTTATTTCCAATATCCATAAACAATGTTCTATACTACTACTGGCATTCTAGTCTTAGCTATGTTAAAGGAAGAATAAAATAGACTTCAACTTTGTAAAACTTAAGTTGTTTTTATAAGTGAAATAGAAAAATATTTGTATGTATGTTTCTTCATTAGGTCAATGTGAACCAATTTCATTGGAACTCTGCATGAATTTGCCCTACAACCACACAAGTTATCCAAATTACCTTGGCCACAGGACTCAAAAGGAAGCATCCGTCAGCTGGGAGTCTTCTCTTTTCCCCGCACTTGTTCAAACCAACTGTTATAAATACCTCATGTTCTTTGCTTGCACCATTTTGGTACCAAAGTGTGATGTAAATACAGGCGAGCGTATCCCACCTTGCAGGTAATGTGATGGGATCTCCCCCAGTACCCTTCTCTTGCCTCAGAGAGAACCAGCGGGTGAAGGCTTAGCTGAGTTTCGACAGAGTAAATTTCCCTAAGGAGCTCTGCATTTAGCACATGGTATACCCTCATATTTAACAAGTGAGACAAAGAAGTGGAAGTTGCAAAATGAGTATTGGAGTCAGAATTCGTTAACAAAGTACCAAACAAGGGAGTTGTGACCTTCCTTTGATGATAGTTTATGTGTTTTAATCAAATAAATTCACATATGTTTCATTCTGTTGTATGAAAAAGCATTTTTTAAAAAAAGTATGTTAGTAGAAAAGGGGTATATCTGCCTCTTTTTCTGGAAACATTGATGTGTTTAAAATGCTGCACTCTGACAGCACTTGTGTCATAACACGAGACAGAACGCCAGCCTCACAGGCTGGACAGGGATCCACATCGCTGGTACTTCTCTGCCTATTTGAATGAAATAAGATAGCTATTTCAAGAGTATAGCTTGGACTTTGAATATGAGTGATAATCCAATGTCAAGAGTATTGTTCTGGAGTTCATGTTTGGATTAAAATCTTGGCCCTTCTCTAGTTTCTGGGTAGCCCTTAGACAAATTCTGAGTCTCTCTCAGCCTCAGTTCCTTCACATGTAGAATAAGGATAGTAATGGTTGTTGGGTTGTGTTGATTTGAGATCAAATGAATGTGCATGAATGTAAAGTGCTTCTGATTCATTGTAACCCCTGAATAAAGAACAGCTGTGGTGATAGCACAGGCGCACAACCACTTCATGGCAGTTTGTTCCTTTGTTGTGCCATGTGTTAGGCATTGTAGTAAGAGGATTTGCATATACAAGATGACTCTCACAGAAGTGAGGAGTTGCTGCTCTCTTCAGTGCTGTTTTCCCTTAAGGGGTAAGTATACAGATGTGCTGGCCTAAATATGAGTGGCAACTACAGGAACCATATGTTGGGATCAGAAGTGACACAGAGTTTTTTTTTTTTAAACCAATACTAATAATATACTAGACAGAAGAGAAAACAATAAATTATATGCCGAATACCAAATGGATGACAAAGTAAGGGCATCTGTAGAGACAGAACAGGAAATAATAAAATTTCATAATGACTTAGGGAACTGAACAAATTATACCAATAGAGAGAATAAAACTTAATGTTAACTTGTGTAGAAATAATTCTGAAAATTTCTGTTAAGTACTTTTAAAAGTATCTCTTTTAAAAATCTACCAATTTTATGTCAAAAAGCTGTTTCTAAATCTTATTTCACTTTTGCTAAACAATGTCAGTGATAGCGAATAATTTCTTTTAATAGTACTTAACAATTTCTAGTATTTGACTTTCTTTTCATATGTAGATAAAAATTTCTCTAATGCAGCATCTTCTGCTGCAAATGTAAATGTGAATTTATATCCAGATATAATTTGTAATTTCAGGGCTTAAGTTCCATATTAAAATGCTTAAGATGAGCATGATCCTGAAGTGTTGTTCAATCAAAATTTTGGCAAATTTCTTTTAGATAACTTTAGTTCTCCTTTTCAGGTTTACCCACACATCTTTCATTTTCAGTGTCTATCACTATGAATTTTGTATTTTGATATTTGTTTATAAGAAATTTTTGAATACCATGCTAATAAGTTCATAAAACGATACATAGTTGTTTTTGTCTGCTTTTGCCAGGTCCGTTGATTAATTTTAACAATGAATTTTTTAGTTATGAGACTGAAAAATCTGACATTATCGAGTCCTCACAATGGGCTAAATACTTGACGATTGTTACCCTGTAGCGCAGTCAACCTTTTGAGTGGGGTGTGTATTATTGGAGCTGCTACCTATGGCTGACCACTACAAGGATTATGATAAGAACAGCACCCTCTGGGGTTGTGTTGCTGTATATTGTTATGATTTCCATTTTACAGAAAAAATAGGAAGTGGTAGAGTCAGGCACTATACAGTCTTCTGTATAAATAAGTATCACATGACTAACTTAAAATAGTCACAAATGAGTTACATACATTTTTTATAAATCTGCAACAAAACTAGTTAGCTCAGCAGACAGTTATCAAACACTGTTGAACTTTTCATTTTTCTGGACCTAATATAGGAATACCGCGGCTTTATCTTCACCCCAAATTCCTGGACTAAACTAGTGTTGAGTTATGCTGTGCTTTGTCCAGACTTAAACTTAGAGAGAGCTTTCTGTAAAACTTCCTCATTTAATTATTACACTTTCTCTACCAGTTTTGGGCAAGACTGGAGCAGACCTTTCTGGAAGATCTGTCCCCCATTTTACCTTTAAAAATAAGAACTTGGTTGAGATTAGTGTAAAAAATGTGAAACTTTTGAGAAATAAGAGTATTTGAGTGTATCTAGTGTATTTGAGTCCATTAAGAGTTTATTGGCCTAGGAACTTACTTCGGTTAGGTTTTTTTTTTTTTTTAACTATGTAACTAATTCCTTAGTAATATATGGAGACAGAAATAATATTTTTTTTTTCATAAGAAGTAAGAAAAGAAGTAGAGATATCTTCTGTGAGGTATACTGATACTTTAACCTAAAAATATGTTGGGGTCAAAAGACATAACACACATGAAAGCACCTGATACAATAGTTAGAATATCATTTCTTTAAAACAACAAACATTTTAACTGACTTGAGCTCAACATCAATAGATTAGGGAGGAGTCCTAAGCTTTTCAACAATATTGATGGAAGCTGAAGTAAGAGAGGCCATGCCTTAGGTAAGCTAGGGTGGCACATGAGATGGCTCGCAGGGTTGGTCTGCAGATCTGTGAGGATGAGGGTGTTATATAGATTCAATGACTTTTGGCGGCAAACTATCCAAAGTGATGTTGGGACTTCCCTGTTTGGAAGAAAAGATTGGAGAATGTGTCTGCTTCAGAGACAGAAGAGAGAATGAGAAAGGCAATGTGGAGAAGGGAATCTGTGTCCTGGAAACATCTTTAGACCTATTTCTGCAATAAAGTTTCTTTTGGTGAACGTATGGTGTTGGAACGTATAGTCTTTGCAGAGACATTACTTGTTTTGGTTTCCCAAATACCTTTCATTTATATGTGCATCTTTTATATCCACACGCCCACAATACATGCCACATATACAGACCCACACACACAGAATTACAACTTGATAGAAATTCCTAACATCTGTCTCAGTTGGAGCTATTTCCGCTTCTAATGCTTTGTCTTTCTTGTTCATGTAGAGCATTGTGTGAGCATTCCAAAGAACGCTGTGAGTCTGTTCTTGGGATTGTGGGCCTACAGTGGCCTGAAGACACAGATTGCAGTCAATTTCCAGAGGAAAATTCAGACAATCAAACCTGCCTGATGCCTGATGAATATGTGGAAGGTTAATTTAAAAATTAATTACAGCAGCTATTTAACATGAATGAACATGTTACCTACCTTTTGAACTTCTTCTATTTATGGTTTCTTGTTTGTTTGTTTTCTATTTAGTTGCCAATTAGGCTGCTTAGGTGAGTGAATTTGTGAACTTGATTGCATTGAAGAATTTGGCACTCATCGTTAGATATTGCATTCATTTTAAAAATAAAAAAGTTATCGTCTATTTCTATTCTTTATTTTTGTGGGTACACAGTAGGTGTATAAATGTATGGGGTGCCTGAGATATTTTGATACAGGCATACAATGCATAATAATCACATCAGGTAAATCACATCACACCAAGCATTTATCCTTTCTTTGTGTTACAACCAATCCAGTTATACTCCTTTAGTTATTTTTAAATGTACAATAAATTATTGCTGATTATAGTCACTCTGTTATGCTATCACATACTAGATTGTATTTATTCTATCTAACTGTATTTCTGTACCAATTAACCATCCCTGGTTCTTCCCACCACTACCCTTCGAAGACACTGGCAACCATTGCTCTACTTTCTATCTCCATGACTTCAGTTGCTTTAATCTTCAGCTTCCACAAATAAGTGAGAACATAAGAAGTTCGTATTTCTGTGCCTGGCTTATTTCAGTTAACATAATGACCTCTTCTTTTATCCATGTTGTTGCAAATGATAGGATCTCATTCTTTTTTAAGGCTGAATAATACTCCACTGCATATATGTACCACATTTTCTTTATCCATTCATCTGTTGATGGACACTTAGGTTCCAAATCTTGGCTATTGTGAATAGTGTTGCCACAAACATGGTAGTGCAGATATATCTTCTATATACTAGTTTCTTTTCTTTTAGGTATATACCTAGCAGTGGGATTGCTGGGTCATGTAGTAGATCTACTTTTAGTTCTTTGAGAAGCCTCTAAATTGTTCTCCCTAGTGGTGGCACTAATTTGCATTCTCACCAATAGTGAGTGAGGATCCCCTTTTCTCCACATCCTTGCCAGCATTTGTTATTGTCTGTCTGTCTTTTGGATATAAGACATTTTAATTGGGGAGAGATGATATCTCATTGTAGTTTTGATTTGCATTATCTGATGGTCAGTGATGTTGAGCACCTTTTCATATGCCTGTCTGTCATTTGTATGTCTTCTTTTGAGAAATAGTTATTCAGCTCTTTTGTCCATTTTTAAATCAGATTTTTTTTTCTATAGAGTTGTTTGAGCATTTTATATATTCTGGATATTAATCCCTTATCAGATGGATATTTTGCAAATATTTTCTCCTATTCTGTGGGTTGTCTGTCCACTTTCTTTTTCTGTGCAAAACCTTTTTAACTTTATGTAATCCCATTTTTCCATTTTTGCTTTGGTTGTTTGTGTTCATGAGATATTACTTAAGAAATCTTTGTGCAGTTCAGTGTACTGGAAAGTTTCCCCAATGTTTTCTAGTATTTCATATTTTGAAGTCTTATATTTGTCTTTATTCATTTTGATTTGATTTTTTATATATGTGAGGTATGGGGTCTAGTTTCATTCTTCTGCATATGAATATCCAGTTTTCTTAGCACCATTCATTGAAGAGATTGTCCTTTCTCCAATGTATGTTCTTGAAAGCTTTGTTGTAAATGAGTTCACTGAGGATGTATGAGTTTTTTTTTCAGTTTTCTCTTCTGTTTTCTTGGCCTATGTGTCTGTTTTTATGCTAGTACCATGCTGTTTTGGGTATTATAGCTCCGTAGTGTAAGTTGCAGTCAGGGAATGTGATTCCTCTAGTTTTTTTTGCTAAGGATAGCTTTGGCTTATCTGAGTCTTTTGTGGTTCCATATCGATTTTAGGATTTTTTTTCCTATTTCTGTGAAGAATTTCATTGGTGTTTTAATAGGAATTGTATTGAACTTGTAGATTGCTTTACATAGTGATATAGTTTGGATATTTGCTTCTGCTCAAATATCATGTTGAGATGTAATCCCCAATGTTGGAGGTGGGGCCTGATGGAAGGTGTTTGGATCATGGGGAGTAATCCCTCATGATTGGATTGGGTCATCTCCTTGGTGATAAGTGAGCTCTTGCTCTGAAATTGTATGAGATCTGGTCATTTAAAAGTGCTTCAGCACCTCTTCCCCTACTGTCTCTCATGATTGGCTTGGGTCGTCTCCTTGGTGATAAGTGAGCTCTTGCTCTGCAATCGTACGAGATCTGGTCATTTAAAAGTGCTTCAGCACCTCTTCCCCTACTGTCTCTCTTGCTCCTTCTTTACCGTGTGATGTGCCTGCTCCCCTTTTGCTTTTCACTGTGACTGTAAGCTTCCTGAGACTTTCCTAGAAGCTGAGCAGATATTGTCACCATGCTTCTTGTAAAGCCTGCAGAATGATTAGTTAATTAAACCTCTTTTCTTTATAAATTCTTCAGTCTCAGATATTTCTTTATAGCAACACAAGAATGGCCTAACAGAAAATTGGTACTGGAAGTTTGGCATTGCTATAAAGATACCTGAAAATGTGGAAGTGACTTTGGAACTGGGTAACAGGCAGAGGTTGAAAGAGTTTGGAGAGCTCAGAAGAAGACAGGAAGATGAGGGAAAGTTTGGAACTTCTTAGAAACTGGTTAAGTGATTGTGACCAAAATTCTGATAGTGATATGGACAGTGAAGGCAAGGCTGATGAGATCTCAGATGCAAAAGTGGAGCTAATCAGGAACTGAAGCAAAGCTCACCCATGTTATGTGTTAGAAAAGAGGTTGCCGGCATTCTGTTCATACCTTAAGGATTTGTGGAAGTTGGAACTTGAGAGTGAAAATTTAGGGTATCTGATGAAAGAAATTTCTAAGGAACAAAGTATTGAAGATGTAGCCTGGCTGCTTCTGACAGCCTGTGCTGATACAGGAGCAAAGAAATGACTTAAAGTTGGAACTTATAGTTAAAAGGGAAGCAGAGCATAAAAGTTTGGAAAATTTACAGCCTAGCTATGGTAAAGAAAGAAAAAGCTTTTTCAGTAGAGAAATTCAGGCAGGCCGAATTGCTAGAGAAATTTCTATAACTGAACAGGAGCAAACAGTTAATAACTAAGACAATGAGAAAATGCCTTGAAGGCCTTTCAGAGATCTCTCAGGGAGTCCCTCCCATCACAAGCCTAGGAGGACCAAATGGTTTCATAGGCCAGGCCCAGGTCCCCACTACCCTTTGCAGCCTTGGGACACTGCTTCCTGCATCTAGGCTGCTCTAGCTTTAGCCATGGCTCAAAGAGGCTCATATACAGCTCAAGCTGCCACTTGGGAGAATGCAAACTGTAAGCCTGTTCATTTCTATGTGGGATTAAGCCTGAAGGTGCACAGAGAGCAAGAGTGCATGAGGCTTGGTAGCCACTGCCTAGATTTCAGAGGATGTATGAGAAAGCCTGGGTGTCCAGGCAGAAGCATGCTGCAGAGATGGAGTCCCCACAGAGAACTTCTGCCAGGGCAGTGCAGAGGGGAAATGTGGGGCTGCAGCCCCCACACAGAGTCCCCAATGGGTCACTGTCTTGTGGAGCTGTGGGATGTAGGCTGCTGCCTTCCAGACTCCATAATCGTAGATCCACTGGCAGCTTGCATGCTGTGCATGGAAAAGCTTCTGGCATTTAACAACCTGTGAAAATAACCATGGGGCCTGAATTCTGCAAAGCCACAGGGGAAGAGCTGCCCAAGGCCTTGGGAGCCCACCCCTTGCACCAGTGTGTCCTGCATGCAGTATATGGAGTCAAAGGAAATTATTTTGGAGCTTTAGGGTTTAATGACTGCTCTGGTGGGTTTTGGGCTTGCATGGGGCCTGTAGCCCCTTTCTTTTATCCAATTTATCCCTTTTGAAATAGGAATGTTTACCCAATGCCAATCAGCCATTGTATCTTGGAAGTAAATACCTTGTTTTGATATTACAGGCTTATAGGTAGAAGGAACTCATTTGGATTTGGGATAAGACTTTGGATTTGGGACTTGGAACTTTTGAGTTAACACCGGAATGAGTTAAGACTTTGGGGAGCTATTGAGAAGGGATGATTGTATTTTGAAATATGAGAAAGACTTGAGATTTGGGAAGAGGCAGAGCAGAATGATGTAGTTTGAATATTTTTCCCTACCCAAATGTCATGTTGAGATGTAATCCCTAGTATTGAAGTGGGGTCTGGTGGGAGGTGTTTGGATCATGGAGGCAGATCCTCTATGAATGGTTTGAGCCATTCATTGCTTTGGTGGTAAGTGAACTTTCACTCTGAGTTCACAAGAGATCTGGTCATGGCACCTCCCTCCAACTCTGTCTCTCTCTTGTTCCTGCTTTTGCCATGTGACATGCCTGCTCCCCCTTTACCTGCTGCCATAATTGTAAGCCTTGTGAGGCCTTCCTAGAAACCAAGCATACTCTAGGCTTCCTGTAAAGCCTGCAGAACCATGAACAAAATAAACCTCTTTGTAAGTTATGTAGTATCAGGTATTTCTTAACAGCAATGCAAGAATGGCCCAATACACATAGTATGGAAAGTTTAACAATATTGCTTCTTCCAATCCATGAACATGGATTATCTTTCTGTGTTTTGTGTTCTGTTTAATTTTTTTCATCAGTTTCATGGTTTTTATCACAGAGAACTTTCACTTCTTTGGTTAAGTTGATTTCCACATATTTTATCTTATTTGTGGCTTTTGTAAATGAGATTACTTTCATGGTTTCTCTTTTAGATTTTTTGTCATTTGCATATAAAAATGCTACTAATTTTTGTATGTTGATTTTTTATCTTGCAACTTTTCTGAATTTGTTTATCAATTCTACAGTTTTTTGGTGGAGTCTTCAGGTTTTTCCAAAGATAAGATCATATCATTTGCAATCAAGAATAATTTGACTTGTTTCCAATTTGAATGCCCTTTATTTCTTTCTCTTATTTAACTGCATCAGGTAGGACTTCTATTACTATATGGAAAAACAGTGGTGAGAATGGATATTCTTGTCATGTTTCAGATCTTAGAGGTAAGGCTTTCAGTTTTTCCCCATTTGGTTTGATACTAGCTGTGGATCTATCATAAATGGCTTTTATTTTGCCAAGATATGTTCCTTTGTACCTAGGTTTTGTAGAGTAATTTTTTTTTTCAGGAAGAGATGTTGAATTTTATCAGATGCATCAATTGAAATATCATATGGTTTTGTCCTTTATTCTGTCTATATGATATAGCAGAATGATTGATTTGCATATGTTACATCATCTTTGCATCACTCCTATAAATCCTAAATGGTCATGATAAATGACCTTCTAATATGTTGTTGAATTCAGTTTGCTGGTATTTTGTTGAGGACTTTTATGTCAATGTTCATCAAAGAGATTGGCTTGTAGTTTTCTTTTTTTGATGTGTCTGTGTCTAGTTTTGGTATCAGGGTAATATTGACTTCATAGAATGAGTCTGCATGTATTCTCTCATCCTTTATTTTTTGGAGTAGTTTGAGCAGGATTGGTATTAATTCTTCTTTAAATATTTGGTAAAATTCAGCAGTGAAGCCATTGGGTCCTAGGCTTTTTTTTTTTTTATCTGCTGAAACACTTTTAATTATTACTTAAATAGCATTACTTATTAGTCTCTTCAGATTTTAGATTTTTTCATGGTTCAATCTTAGTAGGTTTTATACTTCTAGAAATATATTCATCTCTCATAGGTTTTCCAATTTATTGGTATATAGTAACTCATGGTAGCCTCTAATGATCCTTTGAATTTCTGTAGTATTGGTGCCAAAGTCACAAGTCAAAGTTCTTCTCACTCTTCCCCATCCCACAAACAGGTTATGGAAGAGTGGTAGGGATCTCTCCTCATGATCACTACCACCCCAGGCCCATGACAAGCACTGCCATACCACCACTGTTTGCTCAGAGTCCAAGGGCTCTTCAATCAGCCTCTCGTGAATGCTGCCAGGCCCAGGACTCTCACTTCAGGACAGTGGGCTCGTCTCCAACTCAGGGCACATCCAGGAATATTATCCAAGAGCCAGGGCTTAGAATCGGGGACCTCCAAGAGTCCACTTGATGTTCTACCCGACTGGCAGAGCCTGGTACCTAAGCTGCAAGACAAAGTTCCTACCTAAGCTGCAAGACAATGTTCCTTTTACTCTTCCTTCTCCTGTTCTCAAGCAGGAGTTTCTCCCTGTAGCCATCACAGCTGGGAATGTGCTGAGTCATACCTGAAGCCAGCACTTCTCAGAGTCTCACTGAAGGTCATGGGCAAGTATTGCCTGAGTGCTGCTGCTGATTATTCAAGGCCCAAGGGCTCTTTCTTTAGTCAGCTGGTAATTAATTCTGCCTAGGACTGGTTCCTTTTTTTCAAGGCAGTCGGTTCCCTTTGGTTGAAGATATGTCTAGAAATGTTGTCTGGAAGCTAGGGCCTGGAATGGGGCCTCAGGACAGGACTCTACCTGGTCCTCAGTTCTACTGTGGCTAAGCTGATATCCAAGTTGCAAGACAAAGTCCCCTTTACTCTCCCCTCTCCTCTCCTCAAGCAGAAGAAAGGAGCCTTTTTCTGAGCTGCGAGCTGTGCCTGCCAGGGGTTGGGGAAGTGGTGGCACAGGTACTCTCTTGGCCACCCTGTGGCATGCACTAGATTGCATGCCCCCAAGTCCACGGACACCAAGCACTGCACAGCACCATCACTTACCCAATAATTGCAGTCCTTGTGGACTAAACTGCCTTTCAAATTTATCAAGGACCCGAAAGCACTTTAGCCTGTGGTGGTCAGGCTTGCCAGAACTTAAGTCTGACCACTGAGATGGGTGATTCTCCTTTGGCTGGGGTTGGTCTAAATGCTCCCTCCATACATGGGCACTGGCTGAGCTCTGCCTGGTATTGCTTTCTGCTGTGACAGGACAGCACTGAGTTTGTTCCAATGCAAAGTCCCATAATCACTGCACTCTCCTTCCTGCAAATGCACAGATTCACTCTTTCTTTGTGCCATGCAGCTCTTGCTGTGGAATGGGGGAGCGGTGGTATTGATGATTCAAGACTGTCTTTCCTACCCTTTTCAGCCCTTTTTCAGTGACCTGAAATTAAAAGCAGGTATTAGGATTGCTCATATGATTTTTAGTTCTTATGAAGGTGCTTTTTTGTGTGGATGGTTGTTCAGGTTGGTGTTCCTGCAGAAAGGACAGTTGGTGGAGGCTTCTATTTGGCCATCTTGCTCCATCTTTCCTGCAAAAAATCATTTAAAATTAAAAATAATGAACTCAGAGATGAGTTTAATTAGTACTCCAGGTGTTTCTAAAACTGTACTTCACTTACAGAGCCCACTATGAATGGATGCTTTTATTCTAGGGATCCTGAAGGCAAAGGTGAACATCAAACCTTGGTTCCTTCCAGTAAAAAACATTTGGGGACTATAGCAATATAGGAGCATTAAGCAGAGAAATGTGGAACGACAAGGGCGTGGAAATGATTTTGACACATTGAGAGATGCTAGGTAGTCAGGAGCACTGACTCCACAAGGCATGTCAGGCTCTGGCAATTGTTTGGTTGTCCCATTTGGAAAGAAACTTAATCATTGTAATACATAGATGTTAAACTGCTTATCTAGAGAGATGAGGCCAAGAATGAAGGGGAAAGGTGCTGATTAACAGCAGAAGAATGCCACAGTGAAATGGCTATTTCGCTTTTCAAGAACCACACTTACCTTCAGGAAAAGCTTCTTAACAACATCCTACAAGTAAATACATAAATTTGCCGATGTTTCTGCGTTTTCAGCCCTTTAATTGTAATATTGTTTTTAACAGAATGCTCACCTAGTCATTTCAAGTGCCACTCAGGGCGGTGTGTTCTGGCTTCCAGAAGATGTGATGGACAGGCCGACTGTGACGATGACAGTGATGAGGAAAACTGTGGTATGTATGTGCAATGGTACTTTTCTTATATGTACAGTAATAACTAGAATAGAATAAGAAACCCTGTTAAAAATGTAAACTATTCACTGATAGTAGGAATAGGATTGAATGCTAATGCCTTTACTTCTTAAATTGTTGAATAGTATGGCCATTCAACACTTAATAGCGTTTTTCCTAATTCTTGATTTCCTCTAAATTACACTTCTATATAATCCTGATATGTACAGTACCCTCCCCCTTATCCATGCAGATACTTTCCAAGACCCCCAGTGGATGCCTGAAACCATAGATTGTATGGAACCCCATATATGTAGTACTATCCTTTTCCCTACACGTATGTACTTAATGATAGAGTTAAATTTATAAATTAGGTGCAGTGAGAGATTAACAATAAGTAATAATAAAATGGATCAATTATAACAATATATGGAAATAAAAGTAATGTGAATGTTGTGTCTCTCTCTCTCAAATACCTTACTGTGTACTGTGCCAACCTTTTTGAACTATGCTTAACCAGGGGTAACTGTGGAAACTGAAACCACAGATAAGGGTGGAGGGGGGCTCCTACATTTGCAAACACTTAGTAAAAGGAGAAGCAACTCACAAATGTAAGGAATTATTTTTATTCTTAAATTATAAAGCAGTTGTTATCTGTTCTAAAGCCAAAATAGTAGTTCTTTTGCATATGCTTCCCATGTTACTAAATAGACCTCTAGATACACAAAGACAGAGTTCAGACTCCAGCATTCTCAGTTTAATTGGAATTCATTTTTATGTCCTCTCATATATTTTCCATGTCGGCAAAGGATAAAACTCTTCTTGACATTTCTGCCATCGAATTCCAAAATCACCAATGGAAAAGCCATAAATGCCAATAGTAATTTGAGTGGAGTTCATTCTCATTTTATTTCCCTGCAAATCTTTGTACTTGTAATGTGTTAGGGAACAGATGTCAGACAATGGTCTTTAATAAACAGTATTTTAGAGGAAAGCAAAATGATTGAAGATCTATCCACAGAATGGTTTGGTTATGATTATTTAGCCTTTCCTGTCTAAGAAGAATTGATACTGTTTCATGAAAACATATACGGCAGTTCATCTTTTGAAATCATTTCATTCTTTTGGCCTTTGAAGTATGAAATATTGCCTCCATTAAGTGAATTTTCTGTGGTAAACATTGCCCTTCTGTTCTAGACAAAATGTCACAAGCAATCAACTGAAATCCTGTCCATAAATATGGACAAGTGCATCTTCTGGAAAACTCCGGCTGTCAGAATGATGGTGCAATGGCTGGGGTAATTTTGTTATGGAGGAATGTACAGTGTTTTGAGAAGCTACTATTGTTTGCTTGTTTGTGTGTTTTTTTTTAAAGAAATAAATCAAAACTCATTGAATATCCCTTAATAAGTGATTTATCGAGAATGTATTAGATTTGTTCACTTAACTATGACTTTGATGGGGCATGGTATTTTGAGATGCAATTTAAAATAGATTATCTTAGATGGTTCAAAGAGGTTGCATTATACTTTGTTGAGATGGCTAGACCTAAATTTTCAGTAGGGGACTAAATATTTGAGAAATACAAAAGCTTAGTTAAAAAGAAAGCACAGCCTTACCAAGACGAAAAGTTCTAAGTTCTAGAATATATTCTCCAAAAAAGAACCTTAAAGTACTATAGTTTTGGTATAGTGCTTAAACGACCCTAAAATATCAGGTTTCTAGTTAAGTAATTGGTTTTCACCAGGATTTTAACTACACAATTAAAGGCACACCAAAATGATAGAACATATTGTCTAATCTCTATAAAAAATCCAAAATAATCAACAGCACTATTGAGTGCTCTAGTTAAAGAAAGTTAAACGTAAGTGAGAAATAATACATTTGGAGTTAAATTAATTGCTCCAGCATTACTAATTTATGAGAAGTTTTCCAAAGTGACTAACAATAGAAAACTTTACATACTTCTTTCCCGTTTGGGACTTATGCATGCATTTTAATGGGCTTGTTCAGTGATGTGGGAGGACACACCACTTCAAATAAAGAAGTCAGGTTGATGACGGCTCAGCAGAGGACTAATGGGAAGCCATCCATTTCTGTTTCCATTTGCCTCCTTGCTGTTTGTCTTTCCATTTCTGTATGTGCATAGACACAACACCTGGTAATGCAAGCACCAGTTCCAGCGAAGCTGAGTTTCACCCCAGGCTTCTGGCCTTTCTGACTTATTCCATCCATTGTGGTATTAGATGTTTGAGCTTTGCTCAGTAGTTGGACAATTAACTATTCATTGTCATGAATCTACAGCTCCCTCAGAATTTTTAACAAGGTTATTGAGTTTCCCCTCAAAACAATACTTATTTAACTCAGTTATAAAATAAATATTGTGTGAGAAACTAACTTTACCTCTTGTTTCTTTGACACTTTTGTAGCAGAAAAATATGGTAGCTGAAGCATTTAATTTATAAATGCACTTTTAAAATACATGTATTAGAAATTTAGCAATTAATAATATTCGTCTTAAATGTCTCCAGCTCTTGTGGTAGATTTTTGCTGTTGAGGTTGCTTTGATTGTGTAATTGCCAATGTAAACAAGAATTGAAAATGTCAGTAGCAGAAAAGTTTTCAACAAGTGTTGGGATGAATTATGCAAACTCGATATGGGAAGGAAGCCTAAGAGACGGGAATGCTAAGCAGAGTCTGCACTATGTTAGTACAGAAGTACAGCATTGTCTTGAGGATAGATGGTATGTCAGTAATTGAGCTTATGTGATATAGATGGAGCTGCCTGTAAAACTAGCAGCTGGATAAATGAGTTTGTTTTCAACGTAACATTTTCCAAGCATTGATAGCCATGCACTGGAGCATGAGGGAAAGACATGGGCAAATAAATGATTAAGAATCACATTAAAGAAAGGAGAGCTAAGGAAAGCAAAGGTATTATATTTTTCAACAAAGGTGTTATATATTTTCTATCACTCTATGTAGAGTGTGGAAGTGAGGTTAGCTCTCGCTAGGCTTTACCTCCATGATTTGGGTCTGCTACAACAGCAGGTGGTACCTGTGCTGTGACATAAGCAAGCAGCAAGTCCCATTGGAGCAGTTAAATGAAAATATAGCTACAGCAGGTGTCTTATGTCGGCTGTCAAAATAGAATCCTTTCTTACATGAAACACAGAATCAAAATTACTAGTTGATCACTATTCTAAATAAAAGGGTATATGGAGAAAAGATTGACAGCAATACAAATGTCTGAGTGTCATTAAGTGACTTTCTGTTTATCTTAAGATGATTAAAAATCACTTCTTCACCTATCTTTGGTCTCCTCTTGATGTTAAATAAAATAAAACTTTTAAATATAATCTGAGTCCATTTCTGAGAGTCAAAATCCCCTTAGGTTGCATTAGAAGATCTGACTCTGATATTTATGGGTTTTACAGCTTGATTTCAAAGGATTTCCAGAAGACATGTTTTCTTTTCTTTTTTTTTTTTTTTGAGACAGAGTCTTACTCCGTCACCAGGTGCCAGGCTGGAGTGCAGTGGTGCGACCTCGGCTCACTGCAACCTCCACCTCCGGGGTTCAAGCAATTCTCCTGCCTCAGCTTCCTGAGTAGCTGAGACTACAGGCACGCGCCACCACGCCCAGCTAATTTTTTTATTTTTAGTAGAGACGGGATTTCACCATGTTGGCCAGGATGTTCTTATCTCTTGACCTCATGATCCGCCTGCCTTGGCCTCCCAAAGGACATGTTTTCTTTTTGGATTCTTTGATAGCATTTCTATGAGATATCTCACATAAGGGCTTAACTAGCTTTCTTACCACTCCAAATACCACCAGTCTCTGTGCTTTTATCTCTCTTTGCTTGAGGAGGAGATCACTCTGCTCTGTAGCTAGCAGAAGAGTGAAAGTAATTATGTCCATAGCTTTGGCATATCCACAAATGTGCTTTCAGGATGAATTTTCAGGACTGATTTCTCATCACTCAGTAGGATTTAATTTTCCACGTTAAGGGAGAAAATTTCTCCTTCCCTTTAGGTACTTGATTAACTGTTTCATTGTCTTCTGTGGTGTCTTGGGAAGGCAAACTGAAAAGGCAGAGTGTTCTGTGTAGACTTAGACTTGAATTTACATACTGACTTAGCCTTAGCGGCTGTGTGACTTTTGGCCAGTCACTTTACTTCTCTGGGTAAGATGCAGAGAATACTCACATTATTTCCCACAGCTTGGAGTGCTTATAACATGCCCTGTTCATCCTCAGAAGACGATAACCAAGAACTCACTTGCTGTGGTGGTGTGAAATCAGGAGGCGATTCCTTTCAGAAGCTGCCCCAGCAATCTCCCTTGAGGGAAGGAGCCCTGTCTAGCTTAGCCTTGTTTCTGACAGTTCTTTATGGCAAATGAGAGTGGGCTGGCCTGTCAGGCTAAAGCTTGGGCTTGGGCCAGGCCCCTGGCTCACATCGTAAACTCAGATAGGTGGGTGGTGTCTTTTTCTGGAGATAGTGTTGATTTTGGGTTGGATGTTCTCTGTTTCTAGGATTAGAGCCATGCAGTTTAAAGTCCCATCCATTTCTTCATCCTGCCTCTTTTACAGGAGAATGGGTCACCATATATTGAAGAGCATGCCATAAAAATGGCACTGCTAAAAGCGGGAGGTGACTCAGGAATTGGGTAGGCTGCTGAGACTTTCCAGCTGGACGGTGGCTGGATAACCTGTGGTAGTATTGCTTCCCTGATAGCCAGGCCTGGACCACAGTGGGAGGCAGGTCCTCTGTTCCACCTGCTACTGCAGGTGCAGAGGCAGAGCTTTTTGCTGCCATGCTTTGAGGGAAGAGGCTCTGTTGCCCAGGATCCTGCATGCTGTAGAAGGCTCTTCACACCTGCTAGGCCTGTACTCCAGCTGCTACGGTTCCTATGAACTCCTCTAAGTCACATCCACAGCCACTTCCTGGGGCAGACACTGGTCCAGGGTGGCTGGATCCAGACTATTCCAGCCTTTGCCAGCTCAAGAATACAGCATTACCTTCTCTCATTCCTCCTTGTGAACGGCTCCCCTCCGAAAGGTGAGAATTTAAAACTTTCATGTAGCTCAATTCAAAAGGATGAGTGGATATCCTTTATAGCTGCATAGCTAAGAGATTCTTACAGAAGAAAAAACACCTGCTTTACAGCGATTTTCGAACATTGTTTATAATGACAACTGTTTTTGTAGAGAATCAAGATATTTCATTTTAGGGTGGGGAGCCTGCCTCTGGCAAGAAAACCAGTTTCGTAGAGTTTTTGTGAAAATGAGAGACAGAGTAAGCAAAAAACCCAGATGAATGCTTAGCACACTTTGACCAGTCATCTTGATTTGCCTGGGACTGATGGAGGTCTTTTGAAACAAGGGACACTTAGTGCTCAAATCAGTAAAGTCTCAGGCAAACTGGGATGAATTGGTTACTTTTTTGGAACACTGTATCCTCAATTAGTGAGTGTTGCTATTGTCTCTGTGCAGGGGAGGTTATTATTCTGACGTCAACAATTATTTGATTTCATAACTTACAGTTACATTAAACAGCCCATCCCATCCGTGCCTGCTTTTAATTTTTGATGGAATCACATCTTTCTCCTCTTAGAATATACAAACATAAGTGCACCAAAATGTCACTTTACAAAGAAAGCGGTTTCTTTTCAAAATAATACTGTCTCCCGTGTGACTAATGTCTCTCTGCTTTTATCCTACTTCTTTTGTGCTCACTGTAACTTCACAAAGGAGGTACTATGCTATGCAAACTTTTACAAGAAAAGAGAAGACATAGAGGAGTAAAAACCGAATGCTTATGAAGTACTCATTTAATGTTGATAGCAACCCTATGAAGCAGGCATTATGATTCATATTTTAGATGTATGGAAACCGAGGGTTGGAGAAGTCAAGTAACTTATCCAAGATCATACAGCTAGTGACATTTGGAACTAGAATTCAGATCCAGTTGTCTGAGTCTAAAGCTGTGCCTCCACTGCATCTACCTCTTATGCATGCTGCGTGTTTGCATTTTGCAAAGGACCACAATTAAAGACTCCTACCTGGATCCCATCCAGATCTTTCTCCATGGAGCTGTGATATGGAAGGATTTAATTTCTCTAAATGTTAGTTTCCTCACTTATAAAATGGTGAGCATAACACTGACATTACAGTGTTAAGAATTAAAGCTAATATCTAGAATGTAGATACATAGTGGATAATACACTTTATCTCATTATCATCATTATTATTATTTGTGAGGATGCACTTTAAAGGACCTTCTGACTCAGATGATCTATTTCTGTGGTATGTCATCATCTCACAGCAAATGTCTTAAGTTCTTCCTTGTACTCTTAGGAAGAATGTGCCTTGTGAATAGTCAGAAAAACTCATGCTATTTTCTTTCATTCTGTGTTAGCAAGTGGTATGTTTTGTGACAGAGAAGCAGACCTGGAGAAGGGATGGCACCATGCATGGAATATTGAGCCCTCTTTCTTGATGTCTTTTGCTCTCTGGTAGAATGAGCAGACTGTACTATTTGTCTTCACAGAGGGCAGACTTCATCCTCTTTCTCAAATCTCAGGAGACTCTTATTCTCAGAACTTTTCAGATGCTGTCTGGATCCTCTCCTAGCTGAAAACTCTAGATGATGTCCCTGTGAGTTCTTGGAATGGATGGCCTAAGACCACTCCAGATTATCAGCAGTGAAAGACTCTTGCTATTTATTTCCTGTATCTTTGGATGATGAAACACACTAAATCTAATTTTAGCTTACTGTAAAAATTTTGGGTCACTTATTTTAATAGTTGTTTTTAATGAAAATTTTGAAAACCATTTTTTTTCTTATAATGGATTCCAAGAAACCTGAGTCAATCATCTACAAAATTTATCTGATTTATTTGTAGTAGGTCAGATGAAAAATAACATTCTTTAAGAAACTTCTTATTTGATCACTGCTTTGTATTTCACTGACCTTAAAACAAATTATCTTTTCCTGAAAGCCAGGGACATTTTGCTCCTTCCGTGAAATGAAGTTCTTAAAACACACACATGTTGAGGGCCTGCCACATGCTAGCCTTTGTTCCCAGCAAAGGGATGGAAGGTACTCAAAGTTGTTTGCCATGTAGTCTCTTCCTTCATGTACTTCACAGCCTGGCCAGGGCCAGACGGACAAAACATATTACAATGACCAGTGTCAAAAACATATTAGACCCTTGCCAGACTTTAGCAGGCATATGAAATGCACTGCACATGAATTGTCAATGGCATTTATTAAAGACATCACAAGTGCTTGCTATTTCATAGGCAACTTATAGTTTGTTATTACATTAATGTTGTGCAAATTATATTCACATCTCATATTAATTGATGACGTTTTCAATTTTTGGTCTCTGACTACCATAAAGTAATAGCTTTTGCACCTGGCTCTTAAACTAGTTTTGCAGGTATTTGGCATAGAAGGAGCCTCTTTTGCTAAACAAACAGATGACCTTTTGATTTGTTGAATGAAATTACATTTTAAGGTGATATGCATTTAGATCACTAGACTTTGGCGTATTTGCTTAAAAGCATAACATTATTTTACAGGTAAGTCTTATGCATTGACACCAATTTGACTCAGAAAGAAAAAGGAACGGCTAAAGATGAATGTTAATGTATGTCTGCTTTTAAATTTAAATTTTTTCTCCATGTCCTTTATGTCACATCTTTTTCTTTTTTTTGGAGACAGAGTCTTGTTCTGTCAGCCAGGCTGGAGTGTGGTATGATCTGGAGGTGCAGCTCACTGCAACCTCTGCCTCCCAAGTTCGAGTGATTCTCCTGACTTAGCCTCCCAAGTAGCTGGAATTACAGGCATGCACCACCACGCCTGGCTAATTTTTATATTTTTTTAGTAGAGATGGGATTTCATTATCTTGGCCTGGTCTTGAACTGCTGAGCTCAAGTGATCTACCCACCTCGGCCTTCCAAAGTGCTGAGATTACAGGCTCGAGCCACTGCACCCGGCCCCATATGTCACTTTTGATATTCTGTTAGGAGAACTGTACAATTCATATCACAATGCGAATATGATTGTGTATTTCTACTTTCAAAATTATATTATTCGTGGTATATAGGGGTCAAAACTTTTTTAGAAAAAGACATCATGCCTTTGTAGTGTAATTTTTCTACATTATCAAATTCATCATTATTTTTAACTCTACATCTATTACCAATAAGCTTTTCTTCTGTCTCTAGGTTGTAAAGAGAGAGATCTTTGGGAATGTCCATCCAATAAACAATGTTTGAAGCACACAGTGATCTGCGATGGGTTCCCAGACTGCCCTGATAACATGGATGAAAAAAACTGCTGTACGTGCTTATATGAATTTGTCGACACAGCGTTTTTATTTTAAACACTAGTTAAGTTTATTTTTAATACGAGCTTAAAAAAGTGCAAATATGTGTAAATATCTTTTAGTATTTTCACATCTTTTGATTAAACTCCACTTGTAAAGACATGTTCTAAGAAGACAACTAAATATGTGTAAAATATATACACTATAATAGTCTACTGGCATTATTTGTAATGTGGGAAAATTAAAATACCCCCAAATATCCAAAAATAGGGAACATAAACTACAACTATAAAATAAAATAATGTAAATATTAAAATCAAATTAGAGAAGAAAAATTTCTGTTGGATTCATTGTTATATCATTAGTCGAGTAAAACAAAATATTTAGTATTATGTGCACTATTGTCCTGAGTTTTGAAAGTACATATATCCACACATAGAAAAAGATCAGAAAGTCATAATTAAAAGTTTACAGTTATAATCTTTGGGTGGTGGAATTATTAAATTTTTGTGCTCTTCTATCTTCTCTACATTTTGTAAATGAATGGCCATTGCTTTTAGAACCAGAAAGTAATTATATCTCTTAAGATGTTTTACCTACAAGTAACATAAAAGCCCAAATCAAAATGACAAACAATGAAAACATTTATCTTTATTATCATATGCATATCACATGTTTTATATTATCATATAAAGAGTCAAGTGTAGGATGGACTTTTGAGGCTGTATGTGGGAGTTCAGCACCTTGTCTGTGGTTTTTCAGTTCAGTTTCAACTGAGGCTGGCTCCCACAATGGTGAAAAGATGGCATTGCCAGCGGCATCTGGGGCACCATGCTTGCTTGATCATGTCCAGCTGGAAGGAGGAAGGACCATGCCCTCGTCTCCAAGATATCATTAAGGGATTCACTCAGGTCAATTTTGGGCAGAGTCACAGCCAGCTGTCAGGACCCCTTGTGTAGTTAGAAAAGACACTTCCTACAAACAGCTGAACTGCAAAAAGAAGCACTACAGAGGGAGAACCAATCAAAAAAGATGCTGCTTTCTCAAGGTTGTTCCTGCCCCAGACTAGGGCACATGGCATAGCAGCAGAGTTTGGGTAGGAGCTGTCTTATGAAGCACAATCCATGCAACGGTAGGCCAAGGCCCTGATCTTGGAGCACATGTTTACTCCTGACTACTAACTATATTCAGAAAAAAAAAAAGCAACTGTAGACAGAAAAATGCCATGCCCAGCTTGAACTGATCAGAGTCTTCCTTTGGAGCTAGAAATGGCTGGTGTCAGGGCCTGAACAAAATTTAGCTCCCATGAAAAAAGGAGGAAGAAAGGAAATGGTTGTTAAGTAGGCAATCAAGGAGGTTTACTATAATTTTTAAAACCCAAAAGAGAACTATATTTGACTCAGAGAGCCATTTAATAATATACATGAAAAAGAAACCTGCTATGCATCTCTGTGGACAGAGACTGTTTTTTTTCTAAGGTGACTTCAGTCTGTTCATCCCTCATGCTCTGCTCATGCAGATTTTAACCCTGTTCTCTGATCTTTCATGTGTCTGCTGCTGTGAGTACTATTTTATTCAGTCTGATTGTTAGATCAGAACATTGAGTCACTTTAATGTAGTAATTCTGTTTAAATGCTCTTTGTATGTATTGATGTCTATAAAATAATATTTTACAAATTCTGTTATTCTGTTTTCAAGCCCATTGGGAGGCCTCAACGATCACATATTTTCTTCTTTCCATGCTCCTACCGGCACATGAAGATATGCATGTTAGTGATAATCACATTTATATCTAAAGTGTTTTCCTTCTCACTTTTTGTTCCCCATGCCAGCATTTTGCCAAGATGATGAGCTAGAATGTGCTAACCATGCGTGTGTGTCACGTCACCTGTGGTGTGACGGCGAAGCCGACTGTTCAGACAGTTCAGATGAATGGGACTGTGGTGAGCTACTTGTTCTGCCATTTGTTGTCCTCTCTCATGCCTGTCAGCCACTGAAACTAAATGAATCCTAAATTACTGCCCAGATTTTACTAAACAAGTTCATCTATTTCGTTTTACTGTTATAAAAGCTGATGGTGATCCATGTCTGTTATTTCCAACTCACAGAAAATTTCCCCACCAAGTTACTTCTCTATTTGAAATATCTATATTATATGGAAAAACACTTGGGTTCAAATTGTTGTAATCTTATAATTGCTGGAATAGGAGTTTAAAAATCTTCATTAAAACCCACCTTCAATAAATTAACAATATTCTGCCATTCTTTTGTCATCTATACCTGCTAGACTAGAATAGTCAAGTGGTCCCTCTGCCTTCCCTATACTCTGCAGGTCTGAATGGAACTTCTAACTAGTTCCTTACACAGACAGGAATTAAAGATGTCTCCTACCAGCACCTCCAATGTTGCATTTTGTGATCTTGAGTTTGATTAGTTTCCTCATCCCACACTCATCATTCCTTTCATTCACTCAGTTCCTTTTCTGTCCTTTGCATCATCCAGCCAAATCATGATTTTCATGTGTGTTGTGATCAATTGTGCAATGTTTTGTAAGTGCTCTGAGGCTGATTCGTACTGCTCTGTAAGTACAGAGGATGTTTCGTACTGCTCTGAAGTACAGAGGATGCTCCTTTATATAATAGGAATTAACACCTATGCCAAATTAATTCTAAATTTGGATTCCTCTCACGCACTTGCAGTCTCACATGCTTTCTTGAAGGAAATGATAGAAATGGATTTACAACTCGCTTCTTGTAATTATGCAAATCCTGGTAAGACTCATGGAATGAGGCCTGCCTCTGGCTGTCTTCTGACTCACTAAGAAAAGTTAAGAACTGCCTGTCTCTTTCATTAGAGTCTAAGCTTCTTTGAGGGGAGAGAACATTTCTAATCCATTTTTTTTAGCCCTCTAGCACACTGAAGGTAGTGATTTAAACAGGGTAGGTACACACCAAATGGTTAACTAAAATAAATAAAAATGAATGTATGCCAATGAAGCAGAGACATGTAAAGTTATGTGCTTTTATGGGAGGAAATGTTTTTAATTAGGGTTTCCCCTGTCTTTTCTTTCCCTAGTGACCCTCTCTAAAAATGTGAACTCCTCTTCCTTTCTGATGGTTCACAGAGCTGCCACAGAACACCATGTGTGTGCAGATGGCTGGCAGGAGACATTGAGTCAGCTGGCCTGCAAGCAGATGGGTTTAGGGTAAGGTCAGTAGTTTGTAGCAGTGATGAATTTCTCAGAAGGCTTCGTGGAACTAGGCAGTAATATATTCCTTATGGATGCATAGAGAGTTAGTGCTCTCGAACAAAGAGTCCTTCAAAGCCAGGGAAATGAATCAGGTGAGAGGACCATATTTAATTACAGGCATCTGCCCTGAAAAGTGTGACCTGGAAATGTACTTTGATGAAGCCTCTAAAAGTAAATGAAGTAATTGTATTTTAAGTACCTCTGAAAGGAAATGCTTTCATTATTTATAAAAGCATTACAATCATTTCCTTTAAAGAATCTGGATGGAAAAATCTTGCAATTTGCCCCCAAGAGGTTATTGAAATTTCTTTTTAAGCAACACACATTTTTAAATAAGTTGAGAAATTGAACTTGAAGTTGCTGGTATTTCTATTTACTCTAAGTCAGTAAATGTAAATCAAGAAATAGTTCAATGTATTTGCTTCTTAGTAGAATGAAAAGATTCACTCTGGCTTTGATACAAATACACTGAAATGGATCCTTTGAAAGTTGGACACTTGCAATTTTGTGAGATTTTCCTTTTTCAGTTCCATTGGGGATGGAAAGCAATAATTTTCAGGCTCTTAAAATATGTAAGTAATTCCTTTACCATCGATGTATTTGAGATTTAGGGGAAATGTAGAAATTAGAGAAATTGAAGACAGAGGAGTTCTAAAATTCCAGAATAAATAAAAAATCTAGTAAATGCTATTTCCCAGCATTCACTGAACAAACTTGAAACTATTTTACAATAACGAGTCAATTATGGGATAGCACGTTTTTTTATGCTAATTTAATGAATTATTAATATATAGCTCCTAGCATCTTGAACCCATTTCTGCCACGTAAAGACCCACATCTTTAGGAAATTGAGTAACTGATGCTTATCTATAATAAAAGAACTTTAAACTTTGCCAGAGTGGAAAAATTGTATTTGCCAAGATCTATTAAATTATACTTCATTTTCACAACTTCCTTATTGTGTCTAAGTAAAATAGGATATGATTGTGATCAGAGATAAATGAAAAATCTTTGGGATGTGGTTATTTTTATCTTTCTTCTCGATAACATCTTATTGGTATAAGGTTGGAACTGCAAAGATTTTACAACTGCCCTAGAAAGTTCTTTCGACAAGCCACCCTGGACATAGTTGTTCTATCATAAATAGAAAGAATTCTGTTTTGAAATGTGCTTCTTTATGTTTCCTCTAAATATTTGCATATTGGGATTTTTATTGTGTTAAAATACACATACATAAAATTCACCATTTAACCATTTAAAGTGTATAATTTAGTGGCATTTACTTCATTCACAATGTTGTGCAAACATCACCACTATTTGTTTTAAAACACTCCTATTATCCCAAAAAGGAAACTATCTACTCATTAGGCAGTTACTCTCCATTTTCTCCTACATACAGGCCCAGGTAACCACTAATCTGCTTTCTGCCTCTATAATTTGGCCTATTCTAGATATTTCAATATAAATGGAAATATACAACATGTGGCCTTTTCATCTGGTTTCTTTTACTTAGCACATTTTCAGTCATCTGTCTTGTAGCATGTACCAGTACTTCCTTCCTGCTTGTGACTGAATAATATGCCATTAAAGGGATATACATTTTGTTTATCCATTCAGACATTTGAATTATTCTCATCTTTGGCTATTGTGTGCACACTGGATTTTTAAAAAATTATGTATTCCATTTGCTCCTTTTTCTCAACATAGTTGGAAAAATGAACCGTCAATATTTAGATATCTTTAGATACATAACATGCAAATAGACATAGATATTTTTTATTTTAGATTACTTTATTTCACAGAAGGGCTAGAAAAATATGAGATACATGCGTGGTTGGAAAACCATAGCCATTATTTGACTGAATTAATGGGAAAAAATGGGCAAATGATGATAAGTTCTTCAAAGAAATGAGAACTAGTATAGTTTTGAAATTTTTTGCTTGCCTTTAAGTTTACTCTTCAGTTGACTTGAGTGGCTCATGAATTGACAGAAATCTGGAGAGCCAGGCTACCCCAGGAATGACAGTAATGGTCAAGATGAGGCTAGCTTCCTGCTGAGGGAACAAGCTCAGGAAGCTGCCATGTAACCACTGTCTCTGGAGACCATCCACTGTGCTGCAGATTCACAATTTTGCCACCAATGCCTCCAATAAACTCTAAGTCACCCTGTACCTTTGAGTCATTTCCTCCAGATCAAAGCCCTTGCTGGAAAGGTCTGTCTAACCATGAGGGAAGTGGGAGAGAAGTAGGAATGACTGTTCCCTCTTAGCTTCTGGAGTAGAGGTTATGCCAGCCTGCCTTTGTACATTCAGACATTCTGCATCAAAAACTTGAAGTTTAAAAAGCAATTCTCAATGAATTCCACTCAGTATTCCCATTCCCTTTTTGTTTTCTGAGTATCTGTTTATGAGCCTTGTACTGGATGAGGCATTGGGTAGAGGATGCAAAAGTGAATACTGTCATCAGACTTTATAATGGAGTGGAAAAGACATGTGGGTAAACAGCCAAGAACACAAAGTTAGAAAAAAATCCAGATATTTTGCTATCTGAGAATGGTGTGGAATTATTGCATAGAACATGGCATTTCTATTAAATATATACAAGAAAAAACATCAAACTTTAATCTTATCTTGATAGCATAAATTTGTTATATTATTCATTCATTCATCCTTTCACTCAGTAAACATTTATAGAGAATGGTATTGTGGTGTATGTAGGGTCCAGAACCAGCATACCCTAATTCCAAGTGGATCATTCATCTTCTTGAGTAGGTATACTTTGGAGGTAATTTATCAAAAATGCAAGTCTATATCAAATTTCATGTGTTGCAGGGATTCTACTGAAATGCTTTCATGATAGCGGCAGTTGATTTAAAACACAGGCACTTAGGAGTTTTTAGACCCAAATTATGCCTTCCATGTCCTACTGCTCAAATGCTAGGCTCTCAACTCAGTGCTTATCTAGATGAGAAGATTTAGAGTTCTTTATTGAATTTTAAAAACTTATTGCCTTCATCTGTTAGTATCTCAAAAGCTCAGCCCAGGTTGGAAGTATGATGGCTATCTGATTAGAAAAATGTGTAAATCAAGCCCCTAAATTCTTGTGACAGCTGTATTAGTCTATTTTCATGCTGCTGATGAAGATATACCTGAGACTAGGAAGAAAAAGAGGTTTAATGGACTTGCAGTTCCGCATAGCTAGAGAGGCCTCACAATCATGGTGGAAGGCAAGGAGGAGAAAGTCATATTTAATGTGGATGATAGCACACACACAAAAGGAGAGCTCGTGCGGGGAAACTCCCATTTTTAAAACCATCAGCTCTTGTGAGATTCACTGAGAACAGCACAGGAAAGACCTGCCCCCATAATTGAATCACCTCCCATTGGGTTCCTCCCATGATATGTGGGAATTGTGGGAGTTACAATTCAAGATGAAAGTTGGATGGAGACACAGTCAAACCATATCATTTTGCCCCGGCCCCTCCCAAATCTCATGTCCTCACATTCAAAACCAATAATACCTTCTTAACAGTCCCCCAAAGTCTTAACTAATTTCAGCATTATATCAAAAGTCCACAGTCCAATGTCCATCTAAGAGAAGGCAAGTCCCTTCCACCCATGAGCCTGTAAAAATCAAAAGCAAGTTAACTTCATAGATACAATGGGGATACAGGCATTGGGTAAATATAGACATTTCGAATGGGAGAGTGGCTAAAACAAAGGGGCTTATAGGCCCAATGCCAATCTGAAATCCAGCAGGGTAGTCAAATCTTAAAATTCCAAAATGATCTCCTTTGACTCCATGTCTTGCATCCAAGTCATGCTAATGCAAAAGGTGAGTTCCCATGGTCTTGGGCAGCTCCACTCCTGTGGCTTTGCAGGGTTCAACCTCCCTCCTGACTGCTTCCATGGGCTGGCTTTGAGTGTCTGAAGCTTTTCCAGGCACACAGTGCAAACTGTCAGTGGATCTACCATTTTGGGATCTTGAGGACTATGTCCCTTTTTGGGGGTGCCCCAGTAGGGATTTTGCATGGGGACTTTGACCCCACATTTCCCTTCCACACTACCTAACAGAGGTTCTCCATGAGGGCCCCACCCCAGCAGCAAACTTCTGCCTGGGCATCCTGGCCTTTCCATACATTCTCTGAAATCTAGGCAGAGGTTCCCAAACCCTGATTCTTGACTTCTGTGCACTTGCAGATTCAACATCATGTGGAAGCTGCCAAGGTTTGGGGCTGGCTTCCACCCTCTGAAGCAACAGCCTGAGCTGTACTTTGTGGCCCCTTTTAGTCATGGCTGGCGCAGTTGGGACACAGGGCGCAAAATCCCTAGGCTACACATAACAAAAGGACCCTGGTCCCAGCCCATGAAACCATATTTTCCGCCTAGGCCTCTGGGCCTATGATGAGAGGGGCTGCCATGAAGCCCTCTGACATGTCCTGGATACATTTCCCCATTGTCTTGGGGATTAACATTCTGCTCCTCATTACTTTTGCAAATTCTGCAGCCAGCTTCAATTTCTCCTCAGTAAATAGGATTTTCTTTTTTATCACATTGTCAGGCTGCAAATTTTCCCAACTTTTATGTTCTACTTTCCTTATAAAATTGAATGCATTTAAAATAACCCAAGCCCTCTATTGAATGCTTTGATGCTTAGAAATTTCTCTACCAGATACTGTAAATCATCTCTATCAAATTCAAAGTTCTGCAAATCTCTTTGGCAGAGGCACATCCCGCCACTCTCTTCGGCAAAACATAACAAGAGTCACCTTTGCTCCAGTTCCTAACAAGTTCCTCATTTCCATCTGAGACCACCTCATCCTGGACTTTATTGTCAATATCACTATCAGCATTTTGGTCAAAGCCATTCAGCTAGTTTCTAGGGAGTTCCAAAATTTCCTACATTTTACTGTCTTCTTCTCAGCCTTCCAAACTGTTCCATCCTTGGCCTGTTAA